TAATGGGCATGGGGGTGGGGGAAATCTGACAGATGATTGCCTTGCTTATCCTTATCCTTGACTCTTGTATTTGTAATTATTGTATGATATGGTATTGTAGTCTGTTGCATTGTTATTGTAAGTTATTGTATTGTAGTCTATCACATTTCTTATCCTTGTCTTGAACCCAGGACACTTTGAATGTCTCATCATATTTGGATGTGATGTGGATATGAAATGAGCATGTGCTGGATTTGACACAGGAATACTTTGTATCATTGTTTTCCAGCACCCATTGGCAGTGTCTTCTTGACTCTGACATCATTATAGCATGAAAGGTGAAGCTATAGAAACAAGTGCACATTGGATGTGCAAGTAAATAGACTCAATGCCACCCCTGCATTGGGATGGATCTATGCATAAAAAAGGTCAGTCAAGTACAAAGTAGAGATAAACACCCGCATTTCTGCTAGCCCTTTAGTAATGGAGTCGATCTCCTTCAAAGATCTAAGAATAGTGGAGAAGGTGTCAATGGGACCAGGAACAGACTGTATGTTGTTAGTTGCTGAAGCAGGAGTGTGCACAATTTCCAAGTCTGGGTCATTTTTCATGCCTGTTACACCTTTTGTGGCATTGGCAATTCTTTCATTCACAAACTCCTTGTCCAGTTGTTCAGACTGATGATGGAACTCAGGATATTATCAAGCCAGGGAAAGAGAACTAAGGATGTTCTGGGCAATGATTGCACAGACACAGACTATTGGTGACCTCAGAGAGGCCATCAAAGACAAGAAGAAGCAACAATTTGACCATGTTTATGCTGACCATCTTGAACTGTGGCAGGTGAGTGATCTGATGCTTATGATTGGATGCTGATGTTCTGATCATTTGAAAGGTCAAGATCAATTTGAATGACCTACACTTACTCAACACAATTGTGGATGAAAGCATGGAGTTGAAGCTGTTAATGGAACTGTCCAAAGTGTTCATGGATGGAGTAGAGCATGGATGTATTCATGTCATGGTATGACATCCTGCCATTGCATGAGGCAGAAGTATGGAAGACCCAACCAATCATATGGTGGAGCTCAACAAAGGTGAGGCTACACCACCCAGTTTTTGACTCACCACTCAAAATGTATTACCCATGAAGAGTTCAAGAATGCTCTTCACTTAAGCTATCCCCCCACATCAGTAGCTGCTAAATCCAAAGAATATTGCAATATACAGGGCAGGCTCACTAAGATATATGATGGTCAATATGCCCACAAAAAACCAGCTGATATGACTGCACCACCAATACAGTTGTTCAACCCAGCATTCACTTACTTGTCCAGCAAAGCATTCAATCCTGAATATGTTGTACCTGATGAGACACTGCATGACATTTTGAAGCTCATGACTAATTTTTTGGCTATCCATGCCAGTGAGAATAAATGCCAACTGTCATATCTCGTATGCCAGACCTAGATCCCACAATATTCCCATGCCTTCTGGACCTACATCTGGAGCCCATCTCCAACTCATCCCCAGATCCTCTTCTGCTGCATGCTCCACACCTCAGTAGAATTAGCTCCACTATGGATTTACCCCTGTGCTCTGGACCTCCAAATCTTCACTACTAGCCTGACTTTACCTCCTCTCAGATTCTGGACTACATCTACCACCTCACATATTTCCATCCTGTTTCCACCTTGCCTTCCAGATCCCCAGATCTCCGGATATTAACTGTTACTATCTCTGGATCTATTCCCACCCTCCGTCCAAGATCCTGTGCCTATCCCCATTTAGGCATCTCCACCTTTCCGGTTCTTGGTTATCTCTGTTTCCATCTTGCTGATTGATCCTTGTACTAGTTTCATCTCCGAGTTCATTTACTTATGTTCTGTCTCACTTACTAATGTATTTCTGCATGCTCATGCATAGCCTTATTCCTTGGCTTACTGATCCTCTCAGATAGCCTCTAGTATATAACCTGTTAAGGTCATACTCAAGGCTAAACAGATCCAAAGGGCTTCAGCCTCAGCTTGTGCACTGTGCCCCTTACTCGAGTATTGCCCCTTATTTTAGGAAGACAAGACTAACATGTCCGGAGGGTTGGATGAGTAGCATAGCAGATCCAGATGACTTCCGGATGCAGGATAAGTATTGTAAGGCTAATCCGGATGAGTCCAGACTAGAAACTAATGGTAGTGGACTGTCATAGATAGAGGCGGATATGGATAGACTATAGGAATAAATCCTAAGTCTCAGGGGGTGACGAGAGTAGAGATACTCAGGTCCGGAGGACAGGAATGAGCAGAACTAAGTTGATATTTGAACTAAGATGTTACAGAGATTTACAGGAGGTTATATACTGTAGGTATCTAATGGAATGATCAATCAGCAGGGTCTGAGGCTATGTATGAAGCATATGGATAGTCTATTGGTAAGTAGAAACAGATCACAAATAATGAAATGGAAATGAAGCATAGGTAATGGATCGGTGAGCAGGACGGATATACAGATAATCAAAATACCGGAGTTAGGGGATTACCAAAAGGAGACAAGCACTGGTTGTGGATTTGGATGAATTGTGGACCAGACCAGTGTAGAGACCCCATCCTCTACAGCCGTATAATAGGCATATTTTCGCGTTTTGGCCTTTGCGCTGAAGCCCCCAATAAGTGCGATACATGCACAGTATTTGCGACGATGCGTGCTTTCACACGCTTCGAACGCGCTACGAGCGCACTTTCATGTCCTTGTCGCCAACCATCCGCATGTCCTGTCCTTGTCCTCCAAGGTCCATTGGTGCATGATTCTATCTATTTTTACTTCAAACACATATCACAGAGTTACATATGGTATGCAATTACACATTGCCTCACTATTTTTACTGCAGTTACATCACTTACGATATTTACCGCTACCTATTCACTTCTGAAGCCTGGGAATGCGCTTACAAGGCATTACATGTCTCTGAGTAAATTTGAGTTACGGGGTTCCCTTCCACTAGTATCCTGATAGCAGCAGAGAGTAGAATTGACTACCACCTTTGTCGATTTTCACACTTGAACTGGAAAAGGGATCAATTAGTCTCCATCATCTCCCACCAATCCAAGAAAAATATCAGTACCGCTCGCCTTGAGGTCTAGAGCCTAGCCACAAAGCGCACATCTTCATGTACCTATCACATCCAGCGCACTTTGGTGCCTATCATCGCATTCCATACTCTTGCACTCCACCAGGCCCTCTGTTGAGAGCTAGTTCTTGGCATTTCCCCTCAATTTTTTAGAGGAATCCTTTCTCAGTGGCAATCCCCTTGGGTCGAGTTTGACTCGCATCCAGGAGAGCTCTGAAGAGTTCTTATCTTTAGTTTCCCCCCCCCCCATCCAAATTCCTCGCCTTCACCGGATGAGTGGACAGATTGGATGACAAGATGTTGGGGGGGGATAAGATGATGATGAGATAAGATCGATCTGAGATCCAGATATGCAGATATGACATAACCCCTGTACAACTCCAGTAGAGTCCTCAGTCTGAATATCAACTTAGACTTGCCCAACCTTCTTCTGGACTTCAAGTCCATCTGAGTCTTGTCCTTTTCCATAAGGCCTAGGGATGGATTCCTTAGGCCAGAAATCCAGACATTTCATATTTGTCCCCTATGTCTCTGTCCCAAGTCTAGGGATTGCTTTCCTAGGCTGGAGTCTTGCCTTTCTGGCACTTACCTTCTCTCTGGACTTTGGTTCACTTCCTGTCTCTCCAACTCTACCTAAGGGTAGTCTACCTCTGTTTGCTTCTACATCAGACTTTGTCTGATGTAGCCCCTATTCCTTCTGGACCTCCTGTCTTCCATACCTCCATACCTCCTGTTTTCAGTACCTCCAGATGTCCTGTCCTTCATACCTCCAGAAGTCCTTTGGACTTCATTAGACTATCATCAGATTTCATCTGACATGAAGGGCTCATACTTGGGTAAGGGGCACAGTGTATGAGCTGAGGCCAAGCCCCTCTGAGTCAGTCTCTCCCTCCCTTGAACACAGTTCTTAATACTAACATAATACTACTTCTCTGTTGGAGAAGGTGATCCAACAACCTTTGCTTCTCACAAAAGGTCATCATGGCAAATGTATGTCCAATGCCATAGCCATTCATCCCCATAACCATATTCTGATGCACCTCATGGTAGTTGATGAAAAGAATGAATTTGGAGACAGGTTCCATCATATCCGCATATCTGGATCTCAGATCTGATCCACATCTTATCTCCATCCAACATCCCCTCATCCAATCTGTCCACTCATCTGGTTGGATCCACAACCAGCACTCATCTCCTTTTGGTAACCCTCTGACTCCAGTACTTTGGTTATCTGTATATCTGCCCTGCTCACTGATCCGTTACCTATGTTTCATTTCTGTTTCATTAATAGTGATCTGGTTCCTACTTACTAATAGACTATCCATATGCTTCATACATAGCCTCAGACCCTACTTATTGATCATTCCATTAGATACCTACAGTATATAACCTCCTGTAAATCTCTGTAGCACCTCAGTTTGAATATTATTTTAGTTCTGCTCATTCCTATCCTTCATACTTGAGTACCTCTACTCTTGTCACCCTCCGAGACTTAGGATTGATTTCTATAGTCTATCCACATCCACCTCTGTCTACAACAGTCCATTACCAATAGTTTCTAGTCTGGACTTGTCCAGATTAGTCTTATGATACTTATCCTACATCTGGAAGTCATCGGATCCACTACACTACTCGTCCAACCCTCCGGACACATTAGTCTTGTCCTCTTTAAATAAGGGGTAATACTTGGGTAAGGGGCACAGCACACAAGCTGAGGCTAAAGCCCTTAGGATCCATCAGCCCTTGAGGATGACCTTAACAGGTTCAGACCCTTCAATCTAGGCATCATTCTTCTTTGCACATGCAACTCATGAGGTGCAATGTTTTGGCACTCCAGTCTGTGTTACTCTCTTCACTGATGCTCGTCACATAGCACCCAGAACTTTGCTCAAAGTGCAGTTGTCCTGCCTTGTTGTTTGCTCACACTGGACCTTGGCTAGTAGCTCTGGAAACAGTCTTCATGGAGAAGTATATAGTTCAACAGCTGATAGACTTCATCTGGATGTCAGCTTGCTCTACACTTGATCATGACAAGGAATTGGGTATATTGAAGATAAGGACTAAGGGCTATGGGAGAAACTGATGAATACTAGGAGAACTCTACAGTGAGACCTGGATGTGAGACAGGACTCAACCCAAAGGACTGCTACTGAGAGAGAGTCCTTGAAATGACTGAGAGAGACTCTGAAACTGAATGCATGCTATGAGACACATGAAGTGTGAATGCTGGAAGAAGTGCAATTAAGACATGCACAAAAGCACACTGGGGCGATAGAAGCAAGAGTGCACATGAGAAAAGCAGCACACACGATGGGAGTCAGAAGTGTAGAGGCTAAGGACTAACTGGAGACTGAATCCAGTGAGAGGAGGATCAGGCTGACACAAGGCAGTCACATCTAGGCAAGTGCACACAAATTCAGACTTTTGAGGGCTTCAAACTTGCTCTAGAGTGCAAATTACTGCTGCTACACAGAGGTGGGAGGTGCTAAGATATATGGTACCCTCAAAACTATAAGTCCCTTCCCTATATCAAATGCTAGGCAACACTTGTAGTGCAAATAGGTAGCAATGTCTATATGTAATGGTGCTTATGTACTTACAACGCTGTAGTCAATCCAGAAGGTACTTCAGAGTGCTAAGAACATAGGGAAAAATGCACCAGTGGACTTAGTGAGGACATGGACAGATAGATGGACTATAGCAGAGGACCCAGGGCAGATGTGTGGGATGTGCAAGTGCATTAGCATGTGCATGGCATTTGGTGTAGGCACATGATAGTGTAAGTGACTTATCCTGGGGATTAGAGCTAGAGTATGAATGGAAAGGAATGGTACATCATCCTATAAGGGCCACATATGAGCAGTCTTTGGAACAAAATGCTTCCTGCATAACTTACCTGGTGAAGACAAAGGAGGACAACCCAATCAATGTTGTTATAAAGTTCATCACCAGGTATGGTAAGGACATCCACAATATGATAGTGGAAGCTGGGTTTGTGCCAAAGCTTTTGTATCATGGAAAATTTGATATTGTAGAGGGGATGCCATTATATGGCACCCTGCAGATGGTAGTAATGGAATATGTGGACAAAATAACAGCCTATAGTTCACCACAACTGCCTCCCAGCCTTCACCAAGAGCTCATGAAGGTGATTGAGTATTGTCATGGGAAGGGTTTTGCATTTGGTAATCTTCAGAAGCCAAATGTCATGATCACAAAGGATGGCAAAGTGCAACTGATTGATTTTGACTGGGCTGAATGTGAAGGCAAGGTCACATATCCTGTATCTATCTCTCCTGCTATTGACTGGCCAGAGGGGGTGCAAGAATTAGGGCCTATATTGAAACAACATGATCATGATATGCTAGTGTGCTACCACAATTAGACTCAATGCTTCTGCTTTATGATGTGTTGCCACCATCTTCAAGTTATGTGTGCCTACATCCCATGTATGGACTGTAATCTGCTATTGCCCTGTCTCACTGCTTTGCCATCAGGCTCAGCAGACCCATGTCTTATAATTACATACCAGACAGTGTTGTAATGTTTTGAACAACTGTCTTTGCAACTTTGTGAACATGTGATAAATTATAAGGCTTTCTCTCTATCTATTTGTTGCCAGAGTTTATAAGAGTGCAGACATCTCCAATGCTTAGAGACCTGTAGATATCCAATATGAGCAAGCTCAAATGAGACCTACAGTGTACACTCATAGCAGACCCTTTAATGGTCACTCAATCCTCTGCCTACCATCAAACTCTGGAGACAAATAACCCAATGTTTTATATCATTTACTCATTTGTTTCTTGAAAGTAGTTTCATAAATCTTATGTCTCATCCCATGCAACACCAGCCTTAACACTATACAAAGATAAGTAGCAACAACTGTCACAAAGCCAGTTCATTAATGGTAACAGTAAATTTGAAGGTTATGACATCTATTGCACATGCATACTCCAAGATCAAACTACACAACATATGACCTTCAAAGAGCTCAAGATTCACTCAATCCACATACACACGCAGACATCATGCTCCTAGGCAACGAGGAAAGCGAACCTGGTGAACTTGCTCCTCACCCTTATTGGTATGCACATGTTATCGGCATTTTTCATGTGTATGCCAGATACCTTGGTTCAGATTCTCACAACCAAGCTTCACAATGTATTGATTTCCTTTGGGTGCACTGGTTCTGTCGAGACTCTAATCATAAATCTGGCTGGGTCGCATGTCAGCTGCACCAGATTGGCTTTTATGATGCCAATGAGGTCAGAGCAGATGCTTTTGGATTTATCGACCCTGCACAAGTGATTCGTGGTGTCCATGTCATCCTGGGATTCACACATGGTTCCACTGGGAACCTTCTTCCTCCATCAATAGCTCGCCAGCCTCATGATGGTGGTATGGACTACAGCTGGTACTATGTCAACCAGTTGGTGTTTTTTCTGACTTGCAAAACAAATACTTGACTTACATTTTTTGTAGATTCGTAGACTGCGATATGTTCATGCAGTTCTGTGGCAGTGGCATTGGACACAAGACCACATGAGCGGGAACACAAACATTCTATGATGACCAGGACTCACTTGACTCAGTGCCTTTCACAAAGGAAAGTGAGTGTACTGGTATGTTTTACGTTCCAGGGTCTCTGATGAATGAGGATATCAACTCAGAGTTCGGTGATGAGCATGGAGACACCCTGGTAAATGCAGACATGCATAGCCTCAGCAGTTCCGGTGGAGAGCACATGGACACAGGAAGCTGGTCTGCACTGGAAAATGAGTTTGCTGAATCAGAGAATGTCCAAAGTGCCACTTATGAGTCCAATGCAGATTTGTTTAATGGAGATGAGGAATCAGATGATGAAGCTGATGAGGGTGCAGGCTCAGAATTGGAGGATGAGTGCAGCAAATTCAGGTATGGAGATCTGGAGGAGCGCATAATAGAGGATGACAATGAAGATGATGCCAGTGATGGTGTTAGTGAGATTGATCTTGGTGACAAGGATGGGGAGGGTGCTGCAGAAAACAAGGAAGACTATGATGACTATGGAGAGTATTAAAATGTACCATGATAGCTAAATTTTTCATTACATGACACTCCACGGCACATCCGTCACTACTAAATATTGTATAAATGCTCATCTTGCCTCCACAAGCAATTTGCAAGCCTTGCAATGCCTGGTGTGACAACTGTAAGGCCTGTAGCCATATTGGGAACCCTACGCCAGGTTTATGGTATCTGCCGAGGTCTTGTCATCTTTCACCACTTTTGCTGACTAGCTTCACACCCATTGTGCCTTCAGCACAGGAAGCAAATGGAGCACTTCGTGCTCCTTTTTGGCTTCCTGGCCTTGGCTGCATCCTAGCATGTGCAATAAATAATTGACATGTGCTGCACTCAAACAGGCAACAGTAGGCATGCTCAATTCTTACGATGTCAAGTTCAAGGTGTGTCAAGTCCTACCGTGCCTTAAGCCAAACAACATAGCTGACCAGCAAGACTAGACGAGACTCCATTTGGGTTGCCGAAGCCAAGCTTACTGTGTCTTATCACCCCACCATCGCATAACACATTGTCCTTGTTATGCAGCGAAAACAAGAGTTCCATGATCTCTTAAATGTCCTTTCTGCCTCGTCGTCTATGTTGGGCATCTCAAAATGCGCTCGTCTCGAACTTGAGCATGTCATTTTCCCTGATGGCGACAATGATGACCACAGTCATCATACTGCCGCATCTCTCACAAGAACAAGCACAGCGCTTCAAGTATTTGCAAGTATGCTGTCTGGTGTCTCACGCAGCCCATACAATCAATGGAGAAAATGTTTTGAATTCTGCTGAGCTGGCCAGACTGAGATTTTCGACATGAATACAGGTATGTTTTGTATTGGATCATCAGCGCTATCTTCCCCAAGATCTTTCAGGGCCCACCTTCCTTGTCCATCTGCTCGAACAAAACCCCATCTTCCAATTAACTGGTGGAGTGGGGGACCCCTAGGCGAGGGGTGGAGTAGCAGCCGGGTAGCACCATAGCTTAGTCAGCCACTCAGTGTCCTTCGGGCTTTGTCGTAGCATAGTGCTCTTCACCACTTTGCCTTGCTCACGACACGCAGGCACACAGTCATGGATACACTGCTCCACTGGCAAGAGACCACAGCGCGCAGTCCGATATCAACTGGTGTGCTTTCTCCTTCGGTATGGCTCATGCAGCACAAATCCACTCCAAGCTGCCCACAAACTTGCGATTGGATTCAGAACAGTGTTCCTGTACTGCCGGCTAAGTCCTCTGCTGAGCACCATTGACGTCTTGTGAAACATTATAGATGCCATATGAAGAATTAATAGTGTTGTATACTATGTTCCGTGCTGGATAACTCATCACTGGTCAGTGGATGTCATGAACTCTGCTGACTTCAAATCAGTTTCCTTTTTTGTAGTTTACCAATACTTACATATCTTCCACTTTGGTTCTCTCCTTTCTCAGTTTCGTGCTCACCTGTTTTGATAGGTATAGCCTACACACTTGTATTTGTATATTCTAACATCGTCTGTTTTGATAGCTGTTGTAGGTTGTTGCTCGGCGTCTCGCCTCAGGCTTTTCTCTCTCTGATAGTGGACTACAGTGAAGTTTCTATGTTCAAACATAAACTTTGAAGTTCATCAGTGTGTTCACTTTGGTAGCTTCGGCAACCCAAATGGAGTCTCGCCTAGTCTTGCCGGTCGGCTATGTTGTTTGGCTTAAGGCACGGTAGGACTTGACACACCTTGAACTTGGCATCGTAAGAATTGAGCACGCCTAGTGTTAAGTCGGAGCTCGAAAACCCGTGACCGGGCCACGCGAGAAAGCCACGCGAGATTCCCAAAAACAGGTTTAAGCGAGCTAAGCGTTCTTAAGCGTTCTTAAGCGAATCTAAGCGCATCTAAGCGCATCTAAGCGCTCCTAAGCGTTCCTAAGCGTTCCTAAGCGTTCCTAAGCGTATCTAAGCGTATCTATGCGAAAGCCACGCGAGCTGGCGAGACGATTCCCACCCGTCGCATCCTACTTTATAGATTATAGATGTAGTAGTGTACTTGTCCTTATAGGTAGACCTACCATTAACAGAGTTCTTTTCAAGAGACTGAGATTGTACTTGTCCTTATAGACTCCTCGTCCCTCTCGCTCGTATAATCACCGCAAGCGCCTCTCCCACTCCAAGTCATACTGAGTTTTTCGCGATCATGAATTACAATCCGTGAGCAGTCACGTGTCTGATAATTCTTATGAGATGACTACCGCCAGGTTTGGTCAAGAACTTTGTAACTAAACGCTAACGCTCTGACAGACTCTTTCATTCCAGTACGAAATTCCCGAAGCTAGCGCTTCCGCTTATTAAAACCCATGGGTTTACCCGAGAGGCGCTATCCTGGTGCTATCCCCACCCGCACCACTAGCTCACCCTCTCCCGGACGCTAGCGTGACTGCGCTGTTTGGCCCAGGAGACGATGCGTGGACGACACTTGTACATACGTGGCTTGATGACAGAAAGCGTCGGATGAAGGAAGGGGCGACAAGGAGGATGGGAATAGGAGATGTGTTGAAGGCGAGGCTGAAGAGTAACGAACCGGTGCTGGAGCACCTTCCAGAGGTAGTAATTGATGTTTTATTTGTTGAAGACATTCAAGTTGATGTTTGTTCCTCGCCGTCGTGCAAATCACTTGTACTTAGTGCTTTTTAGGCGTTTCCTCTCCTCGCTTCCTCTTCCTCATTACACCCTCGCCGCCGAACTTCACCAACTCACTTCCCCAAAAACAGCACCCACATTCTTAGATTCGCTCCTCGAGAATGCTGAGCATGCAGGAAAGGCTTTGGATGAGACAGCTTTGTTTGGGAGTTATAATTGGAACAGCTGGAGAGGGATCGTAAGGAGTTTCTGGGGTGTTGGATTGATTTTGAGGTGTGTAGTTTTGGGGTGTTGTTCATACGACATACTGATGCTGCTATTGCATGGTTATATAGTGCGTTCCTAACCACTACATCCCCGAAGTCAATACATGACGCGAATGTTGTTTCTAAGCAGGTATAAATCATTTCGGGTACCGCTTTTCTCGCCTGTAAAGTTTAGACCGCATGATCAATATGATATAGTGTGTTCCTACCCCCATCATATCCCTATCTAAACGTCACTCATCCCAATAGTATCTTGCAACTACCGACTGCTTGATGAGATTTTGAATTGATTTTCTTGGTTTTGAACTGAGTTTAGCACTGACCGGACATAATAGAGTTGAGGTAGAGGTGACCAGTGATACTTATCAATCCAGAGAAATTGGGAGGAGGAGATTTGAATCAGGGGTATACTGCATGCGTTCGGCAGCCCGAACAAGTCAGAGGTGAGTCCTCTTTCAGTGTTTGGCATTCATGGCGGCGCCCATTTACTGATCACTGTCATCAAGTCTGTTTTTCTGATGACACACCAAGTCCAATGGGATACTGTCTTGTTTGGATGAGCTGCTACGCTCCCCTGGCCAGGCCAGCGAGACGGAGACATGCACGTGCTCGCTGATAATATAGTTTTTGCTCTCCTGTGCCATCCAAGTTTCATGAATCTTCTCGAGCCTGTACAATTCGAAGGGAAACAAGTCAGATATCCTGCAGTCGTGAGCCGCTTGGTGCGTCCGAATCTTCCATCATTCTTTTCTTTATCTTGACCCCTCATTTCTGTGTTGATCTAGTATCACAATGGAACCTTCATTCTGAAGTGATGCTACAGGATGTTACAGTCGATTGGAAAGGAGCGCCGTGCTACAATCACTTTTTCTCGGCTGAGTCTCCTGATGAGAGATGGTGTTCTCTGAGCTATGGTATCGTATATCCACTAAATCAATTCACTAAATCAATCGTGGATTAGGATGGCGGTGAAAATTGGCGGCGTCGTCGTCGTATCAACTGCACTATGTATTGAGTGAAATACATTTTGCCAAGTACAGCAAGAACAAATGGAAACAAGTCGCCTTTGTCAACAGTTTTCGATCTTCTAAAATCCTGTGTTCAAACATTTCGGCTCGGGCGCAGTGTGATGGCTTGGCAAATTCACCACACAATTCCCGCAAGCTAGTTCAAGAATTCAATCAATCAAAGTATGTTATTCATTTTGGCGATGTTATAGCTCGAAGGACTGGATGGCTGTATATCTAGCACGCACGAGCGCATGACATCATCGTACGTCCACCAGGTTCGCCACTCCCTCACATGCTGACTGCGACACGTTGGTCTGAGATTTATTGTAGCTTTTGTATTACTTTGCGATGCTTGACATACATTATTTTTCGGATCTAATATTATACTACTTCGGTGCACCAAAAAAAGTATGCAACATACTACGACACTTCGAACATCATTTTCATGCTCCATGCAGAATGCCCGACATACTGGAACGGGCACGGACTGCAAGGGAAACCCAGGCCAGACCTCTATGGTGGGAGGCTGCGGTTCTATCTATTGAGGACTGACTACGAGCCAGGACTCCAGGACCCCTGGCACTCCCAACCTGATCTGTCCTGCCGGAGCGCCCCGCTCCAATACGCTAAGCAGATTGAGTATACACAGAACTGGCAGATGGCACATCTACGCGCTCCTGGAACGCAATTGAAGTCATGCCGGTTCCCGTATGAGGGTCGGTCTGGAGCCTAGCGCGAACGCTAAGAATCAGGCGCGGTCCCAGCACAAGCATCTGCACCACCAAGAAAAATCGACGAACACCAAGATAGATCTGAGTTGCTATGGACAATTTGTGCTGTACAAACAATGAACTGTAGTCCCATGCATAGGTCAGTGACAGATCGGCATACCACTGAGAGTGTTGGAGACAAGTAACCGAGGGTGAAGCAAGAAACAACAACAAAGCTAGCATGTGCAGAACGTCAGTGGAACACAGAACCACATTCATATTATGAGCTCACCTCGTAAAATAAGCCACGTGCGTTTGAAGTAACACCGTGAAGCAGTCCGCAATAATCCCTCCTGCCGAATGTCGTCGCAGTTCACGAAAGTGTTTTACAGCAATCCAGACTGCGAGACCCAACGCGAGGACCTCCCATACAGTGGTGAACACCCAAAGGACAGACCATAGTAGGACATTTCCCTCAACGTCAACATAGCACAGAGAGACGCCTGAGGAAATGAGTATTGCTGATACCCATCAATGTAATGAAGTCTTTCAACGACAATTAAGCTCACCCCCCGAAATATACTTCGTTGTTATTGCCGCAATAACACCGTCGGCGATGTTGACAGCCAAAAAGACGACAGCAAGAAGTATTAGTACTCTTCTTGATCGCTGATACATGGCATGTAACCGGGTAATCATGATGACTTGCATCATGTTTCAGTCAAGTCGGGGTATTGCAGCTGTGAAACCCACCGCCCAGTATTGCAGTTATGACTCCATGCATCCAATTTAATGTGAGCAACATAATACGACCTGACAATTCCAATTAGCGACCAGTGTCAGAGGTTCGCACACTCCGAATAAACTCACAGCTGTGACAGTCATTATTTGAGCCAACAAGCCCGTCAAGAATCTCACTCACTCCTACATTGGAGTGCAGTTGATTGAATGGGAACGGAGACATCGATATAGAATACTCACTGCATTTATCGCTGAGATTGACGGAACAGATACTATATGCCGTTGGTCAGAAGAAACAAACGAAGTGCATATGAGAAGACACACCCAGTATACTGATGCTTATTGTGAGAGATGACTGATCAGCACGCCAATTACTTGGTCTTCCAAACTTACACAGCATAAATTATTCCAACATAGCGCACCTAAAAAAAAACCTAAATCAGTCCTGCTTGCCAACCACACTTAATACACGAACTACATACACTGAGGTATAGCAAGGTCATGAGGGACCACCGTGACCTCTGCAGCGAATTGAGAGCTGTTCTTCTGAAGTGGGACTCTGCTCACCCAAATTAACTCAACCTATAAATCAAAACTTAGCGAGGTGGCTGCTCCGGAACTGGTACCAACCTACCTCTTGTCCGAACGTAAGTGCTGGGGAAATCATGAGCATTCTGACAATTCTTTTATACCATGTCGCTCACTCCAATCGTACATTACTCCAACAGAGGAGGCAACTGCGAAAGGTTAGATTAAGGCATTGCTACGGCTCCCCACGAACCAGCAAAATAGTTGCCAATACGATTCGAATCGATGAGCGGCCACCAACTAGGATCGTCTGAGCGTAGGGTCATACTATTACTAGTAATAGTGTGAGGGAGTGGCGACCTTGGTAGATGTATGATGCCATGCGCTCATGCGTGCTAAATATATAGCTATCCAGTCTTTCAGGCTATGGCATCACTGAAATGAACAACGTACCCAGTGTTCCTGCTTTGATTGATTCTTGAACTAGCTTGTGGGAATTGTGGATGGTGAATCTGCCAAGCCATCACGCAGCGCCGGAATTTTTGAACACCGGATCTGAAAGATCGAAAAACTGTTAGTAAGAGGGACTTGTTTCCCTTTGTTCTTGCTGTACTTGGCAAAATGCACATTACTCAATGCATAGTGCAGTTGATGCGACGACGACGCCATCAATTTTCACCGCCATGCTAATCCATGATTGACTTAGTGAGTATAGGATATCACAGCCGAGAAAAAGTGATTGTAGCTCAGCGCTTCTTTCCAATCGACTGTTGCATCCTGTAGCATCGCTTCAGAATGAAGGTTCCATTGTGGTACTAGATCAAAACAGAAATGAGGGTCAAAATAAAGAAACAGAATTCTGGGAGATTCGGACGCACCAAGCGGCTCTTCCGTTAGACTTGGCGTGTCATCAGAGGAACAGACTTGATGTCAATGATCAGTAATTGGGCGCCGCCATGAATGCCAAACACTGAAAGAAGACTCACCGCTCCGACTCGTTCGGGCTGCCAAATGCATGCGGTATACCCCTGATTCAAATCCCCTCCTCTCAAGTCCTCTGGATTAATAAATATCATTAGTCACCTCTACCTCAATTCTCTCCTGTCCGGTCAGTACTAAACTCAGTTGAAAGCCATGAAAATCGATGCAAAAATCTCATCAAGCAGTTGATGTTTGCAAGATACTGTTGGGATGAGCGACGTTTAGATATGGATACGATGCGGGTAGGAACGCACTATATCATATTGATCATGCAATCTAAATTGTACAGGCGAGAAAAATGACACCCGGAATTACTTATACCTGCTTAGAAACAACATTCGCATCATGCATTAACTCCAGGGATGCAGTAGTTAGGAACGCACTATATGACTATGCAATACCAGCATCGGTATCTCGTATGAGCGACACCCCCAAACCAAACACCTCAGAATCAAACCAACACCCCAGAACTCCTCACAATCCCTCTCCAGCTCTTCCAAATATAACTCGCAAACAAAGCCGTCTCGTCCAAAGCCTTTCCCGCATGCTCAGTATTCTCGAGGAGCGAATCCAAGAATTCTGGTGCTGTCTTTGGGGAAGTTAGTTGGTGAAGTTCGGCGGCCAGATAGATGGCGGAGATTGATGCTCGGCGGGTGTACCAAGACAACTGGTGGGGAGATGTTAGGATTGGTTGACGGTACAGTTAGATTAGTTATATACAGGGAAGAAAAACGTGTCATACCTCCCGCGCATCACTATGAGCGATCCAGCACGCCTGGTTAGAGACTTGAACAGCGTGTTTGATTATCGGAGCAGGGTCCACCGAGAGTAGAGGTAGAAGTAAAGAGGAAGAGGAAGCGAGGAGAGCGAACGCCTAAAGTACCAAGCATAAGTTGTTTGCACGATGGCGAGGAAGTACATCAGTTTGAATATCTTCAGCAAATTAAACATCAATTACCTCTGGAAGGTGCTCCAGCACCGGTTCGTTGCTCTTCAGCCTCGCCTTCAACACATCTCCCATTCCCATCTTCTCTACCGCCTCTTCCTTCATCCGACGCCTTGCATCATCAAGCCACGCATGCACGAGTGTCCTACACGCATCGTCTCCTGGGCCAAACAACGCAGTCACGCTCGCGTCCGGGAGAGGACGAGCTAGCGGTGTGGGTAGGGATAGCACCGACAAGGATAGCGCTTCTCGGGTAAAGCCATGGGTTTTGATAAGCGGAAGCGCGAGCTTTAGGAGTTTGACACTGGAATGGATCTGTGTCAGAGCTATAGCGTCTAGCCACAAAGTTCTTGACCAAACCTGGTGGTAGTCATCTCATAAGAAGTGGCACCAGGCACGTGACTGCACGGATTGTAGCTAGCGCTCATGATCGCTCAGTCTCAGGCTCATACACGAAAAACTCTAAACGTTGCATAGTTCAAAAGTGAGAAACATATAGAAGAAATTATAGGGAAAACTAAGGTAGAGGACAGAAATGTCCGCATGCAGTCGATCACAACAGGAAAGTAAAGCTACTATGGAATATATCCGCAAGCTCAACACCCCAGCCTCAATCGACCAATCCCTTACTCCTCAAGTACTCCCTATGTTCAGCGCGATGCGCAAGCACCTGCTTGTCAACCGAACGTCTCCAAAACGGTATCCCAACCTAAAGTTAATTGTCAACAACGAACCTGAGTATGCGTGAGACGAAAACATGCCAAAGCAATCAAATCCAACACAAAATCGAGAGCACCATTACTCCTGGGCGCACAGCCACGCGTCGAAGCTCGGAACACACTTGTAATGAAATCAGCGGTGATGTGTGCTTGACCTTTCTCGACACCTAGTCAGGCCAAAAGTTAGCGTTAGAGTTGTGGTTGTGGTCTCGTGAGATGACGTACCTGAGAACAATCCAGCGGCAGCCTGGTCCGGTGTCAGACCTTCATCCGCCGCCTCAATCGCTTTAGTAATAACCGGCTTCGTCTTGTTTTCTTCTTCAAAACCAGGTGTATACATTGTCGGAGGGAAGAAGATGTGAGTATCGATGCCATAGAGCATCAGTTCTGAATGCAACGAATCACCCAGTCCTACCAAGCCGCATTATCAGCATCATCAAAAAACCAGGAATAGAGTAGACACCCATTACTTACCACGCAGAGCATGCTTTGGAGGCGAATACGAAGAATATCCAATCAAAGACATATATCCAAGAGTCGAAGACACCAGTACAATCTTCCCCCCCTTCTTATTCTCGCGCACCATTTGCTTAGCAGCAGCCTGTTCGCTAAGAGTCATGTTCTTGTCCGCGATCTAAAATAGAGTTGAACAGCCGACTCACAAATGCAGTCCACGCCTGTATCCAGAACCCGTTCTCCATTCCACGTGAGAGGTCCTCTGGCTGCATTTCGAGGAAGTACATTGGTTTTGCAGTACCTGCACATGTGAAAACGGCATCTGGAACTTGGCCGCCGTGGGCATCGCTAGCAGCTTGAAGAGCAGCTGCAGATCCCTCCGCAGTGTTCAGAGAGAAGGAAAAGGCTTTGAATACTTGGTCTGGGCTTTGGCGATTGGCCTGTGTATGACATTCAGAACGAACGGAAGGCTTTATCACAGACGCGAACCTCGAGTTCTTTTAAAGCATTGTCGAGTTTGGTTTGGTTTCTTGCTACTATAGAAACGTGAGCACCTTTCCGCGCAAGGAGTTTGGCGAGTCCAAGTCCGAGACCTTGACTGCCGCCTGTGATATAGACATGCTAGGGCCAAACGCGTGAATAACTAAATCATTGAGGAAGACTTCTTGGCTCACCAACCCCTTTGGACTCCATTTTTTTGACGAAAACATGAAAGATGACGAGTAGATAAGTATAAGCAGCAATAAAGCCTTGGAAGCCAGTGAGATCCAGTCGAACATATAACTTATTAAGCCTTGGGTGCTTTCAGTTTGATAGACTGGTGGATGATGGAACCAACAGACGTGACGAGGATAAATGAACTCTATGACATGTGTTTAAATCAGAATGGTTCAAGTCGCACAGCCACCGATCGAACCGGCGGTTATGTGCTACTCATATGCTCATAACACGTTTCACCTCCACGTCGTTTATGTGCCGCACAAGGCTTTAAAACTCGTGCTTGTATTTTGAGTAGACAAGGCTCATTCAACCATTTTTCATGTCCCGCATCGCGTTGGAGAGCATCCCTGGTCTTACATTCTACAAAAACGCACTTACAGCAGCGCGACGTACCAGTCCTATTGCTCAGCTGGTATGCATCGGGAAAGCGTGCGGGTTGTATCAGCCGGATGTCGTGCGCTGCACTAATATTGGAGGGTCGGGTACGGACGTTGATTGGAAGGTGAGTATTCACTGTTCAATAGTTAGAGTTTGAGAGACTGCCAGGCTTTAGTAAGCTCCATCGAAGTTATATAGCGGGGTTGACACAATATTTGCAGTGTGAGGCGGACCTCCCGTCCTCTTTACGTTTTGGTCGAGTGGAGGTCTCTTGCGAGGGATGGAACGGCCCTGGTGATCCATACGTCATGAAAGGTCTGATTCTGATCCACGTCGGGTACTTGAAATACGAAGCCTCATAATAATCTCACAGGATCCTGTTCCCTTGAATACAACCTCGTTCAACTCCCGGACGCCCTCCGCGCTGACTCTGGCTCAAGCTGGTCTCACTTCTACACCCAACCGTGGTTCAGCAGTAAGTCTTGAGCACACTCGTCTACCAACGTTTACTTATCCCATACTTGCTCAGATCTCGATTACTCCGGTATCTTCTTCATGTTAGTATGGATCGTAGTCCTGGGCATTATAATCTACAGCTTTATTCAACCTTGCTTGCGTCGTAACACGTCGAACGCCAACTACACCAGCCCTCCCTCATATCCTGGCGATAGGCAAGGCAGGTCAGGATCAGGAGAGTTCCCGGGCTCTTATTACACTAGCCCACCCCCACCATACACCAAAGATGCCGGTTCAGGCAACAGCTCGCAGTGGCAGCCAGGGTTCTGGACTGGCGCTGCACTGGGGGCGCTGGGAAATCACCTTCTGAATCGTCCGTCGGAGTCTCGGGAGTATGACTGGGAGCGGGAGAGGCGCTTGCCAAATAGTATCTCGAGGAGCAGACTTGTGTCTGGGTATGGCAGCCAGGATAGAGGAGAAGGGTCATCTAGTTTGGGTGCGATGAGGACTAGTACGGGGTATGGTGGTTCGAGTAGTAGGTGACGAAGGGCCACGTTCACAATTAATGTACAGATTAATTGTACAAAGAAACCTGCAGTTGTAATTTGCCAAATTACTTGCTGTATGTTATGTGACAGGTACGCAATGAATGATTTTGATTGGGCCCCGCGCAGCGTGATTACATAAGTCACTCCAGCCCCGCGCAACGGTTTCTCCTTTCTTTCTTCTGAACCATACCTTAACGCTTAATGGCTCCAGATCCCGGGAGAGAACACTCATCAATCTTCATTCTTTTCATCTTACCCTACATCCTGCTATCAGGTTATACACTTACCTTGGCGGGCCATGGCATCCTCATAGGTAATTTGTATTACCTGTCTTCGGCAGCCTCGCAGTATCTGGTAAGTCCTTATCTCATCTCATCTATTATGAGTACTCATGATAAACCTGCTGTACAGGGCACACTGAACCACAGCTTGGGGTGTGTTTCCCAACTGGTCAATTGGGTCACCATACTCACATATCTGATTGTTATATGTAAGTGAGTTTCATTGTATTAGTTGTCATCTAACACTATCATTAGCACTCTTCCAGGTTGAGATCCCAATTTTCCCCCTGCTGATCATACTCATTGTTCTCTTCCCCATTATGGAACTTCCATACTGGGCCTTTGTAGGGAGTGGGAAAGAGAAGGTCCATTTTCAGATCTATGGGAGATCCCAGAAGAATCTGCCAGCATGGAACCACTACCTTATTTGGTATGTATACTGTGGCCATTTCTGGCATTACCTTACTAACTAAATATAAATCAGTCTGATTTTTGTACTTTGTATCTAGTGGTTCCTGTGACATGACTGTGGCTCCACAGGGTGTTGTGGTCTAGCTCTAGTGTTGCTGACATGTTCTAACAGGTTGGGCTGGGCTGAGTGTCAGCTTGGGGTGGTATGTGAGCAGGTGGAGCTGCTCAGGAGGGCAGGAAACCTGCTCATGAAATTCAAACATGCCAATGACATAACAAGTAGCTATTCAATGCAACTGTAATGAAGGACTCCACTAAAATTATGACTGCTTGAAGGGGCCACACTTTCAAAGAACTATGGTATGCTAAATGATCATTAAACAAATATAATGGGAGAGGTGGGTGGGTTCTGATAAATTTAAAGAAGTGAGTGAGGAGGTGTGGAATACAATGAACTCAGCAGTACAGGACAGTGAAAAGTGAATGAAGGAAAGGACTGGTGCAACTGCTCAGCTGGACACCTGGTGCTGGGACATTCTGGTAGGCTGCATTACCTGGCACCATTACAATTGAATTCTGACTAAGTGCGAGGCATGAGTAAGTGGCCAGAATAAGGTCTATGTCTGTTTCGAGCAAGATGTCATAGTCGTCTCCTTCTCTCTTAGAGCCAGTTCAGTAACTGCTGTATAAGCAAAATTTTCGAAATTCAGAATTGTGTTTGTCCTGGCATGATATCTGCTGGAAGCTGAGTTTGAATTCAATTGGTATCATTATCATTATCAATCTCCAACAGTATATACAATAGTTTGACAACTTGCTTGATTGCATAGTGCACTATAAGTACTTAATATCATGTTTCCTGATGGGCCTGTGCATATATGGCCCCCTGCTTAGCCCCTTCTCAACCCTGTGTTTGCTAACCCCTTGATCCCACATGAGCACCTTCTGACTGCTCACTGCATTTGGCCAACTGACCAGCATCTGACACTAGTGACAGTCCGCCAGCAAATGCTTCATTACATCATCCTTCTCATCAGTATCCTTATTTCTGCTACCATACAGCTGGTTCTCACACAAATTCCCCAAGTCCCTGAGCCATATCATACTTTGGCACTCTCCGGCCATGAATGGGTCATTGAGCTCATTGTTGGTCATCCTGAACAAATCCATTGTGAGCTTAGGGTGCATGTCCATGTGTTTGAAGGATTGATCATTGAGCTCCATGCCTTTGGTTACATGGATTTGTGATATGTCTTGCTTGAAGAACAACTCACTATCTTTCTATACTCCTGCATGATGGGATTGACAATCTGACATGTTGGTGAGCACTTCCAGCATTCAAATAATATGATTTCTCAGTACATGTTATTTGTATTTTATAAGAATTTATTAGTTCTAACACCTTTATAGCTATTTTCACAAGATGCTCAACATATTTATGTCACCCCCATTCTACAGCAAATACATATCCTTCCCTGGTAACAATTTTCCTGTCCCCACACAAATATGCAACAATCCAAAACACTGGCCTTATTTTAGGGTGCACTATAGGAGCACTGGATGGCAGCCACATTCATGCATTCCCTCCCATGGCTGAGCACCATGTGTATCACAACCACAAAGGATTTGTATTACAGAATTGCCTTTTTGTGTATGGATTTGACTTACAGTTCACATACTCATTGACCAGCTGGGAAGGGTCCATGACAGATGCACAGCTTTGGGATCAAGCACTCGAAGGCAGGTTAAAAATTCCCGCTGGTAAATACCTTCTTGCAGATGCAGGATTTCCTTCCTGTGAACAACTCCTGATTCCATACCATGGTGTTCAATACCACCTGGCTAAATGGGGGTGTGCCAATGTCAGGTAAGTGTTTCACTTGTTTCATATTTAAATCAAACTAATTCATTTTCAGACCTGTCAATAAGGAAGAGCTATTTAATCTTCACCACTCCTCAGCACACAACATCATCAAATGAATCTTCAGCATCCTCAAATGACACTTTTGCATTCTGCTCTTATCCCTGGAGTACAAGATGGATATACAAGCCCACATTCCAGCAGCACTATGCACCATTCACAACTTCATCTGGATTCATGACCTGGCTGAAGACCCTCTGCCACCAATGAATGTTGTCAACAACAACCCGAGCCATCAAGGATATGTTGCGGCAGATGAGAATGGGCTGCAAGTACAAGCTGCAAATGCACATTGCAACCATATTGTGACACACATGTGGGAGGACTATGAGGTGTTCTTATGCAAACAAGACTTGGAAGGCATTGATCACATCTTGGATGTTGATCTTAGTGAGGAAGATGAGGGCGCAGATGATCTCTATCATGGGTGTGCAGGGCAATGAGGAGTATGAGAACAACACGTAGTACATTTGTGATATAGCTAGTACAATGAATAGCCAGTACAATGAAAGCTTGATGTGAGAATGAAACATGATGATTGAAATGAGATGCAGGGCTACAAACGAACGAAGGGACAAGTGTGAGGAAGTAAGAGCTACATCATGGGGTTTTCTTGTTTGGCATGGGCAATTATAGAATGTAAGAATGCCATGCGCAGTTCAGGATCCTTAATATCATTGAAGGTATCACATGCTGCTGGGCTATTCATGAATATATTGATGGCAACCACCTTGTCCTCCCTTGAAAGCTCCAGTTCTGACTGCATGGTCTTGAGTGTGCACAACCTACTATCAGCCACACGAGTCTCTTTGGAAGTGGAAAATGATGTGTTGAGTGAATCCGAGAGGTGGTTGATGGTTCCTTGAAGGTTCATCAACACAGCGGTGTGTCTTGCCACTCATTGTTGACAGCCTTGGCTTCTTCTCTGATTCCAGCCTCGTCAATTGTGAGACCGAAGTGTAGGTGGTCAAAGGGGGAGCTGAATGACCGTGAGTCATTTCTGCATGCAAGCACTTGCCAGCGCTCAAGCCTGAGGACATGGGTGCAGACTTAGTGGGGGCAGATATGGGTGTAGACATAGGGGGGGCAGACATAGGTGCAGGCATAGGGGGGGCAGGCATAGGTGCAGACATAGGTGCAAACATAGCAGGGAGAGACTTAGAAGGGGCAGACATAGTGGGGGCAGACAAGGCAGAGGTAGAAGTGTGGGAAAACATAGTAGGAGGGGCTGCCATTGTAGAGCTGCCATAATCTTCAAATGCAGGATTGGGGGGAGGGGGAACACCCCAACTGATCTCCAGCCAGGCCATGCTAGGAATGAGGTGAATAAAATGATGCTGGTACATGGCACCAATGCCACTGTCATTGGGATTGCCATCATAATTGACATCTGACATACTGTTGTCAGTGCTGTAAGGTGTGCTGCTAGTACTGGCAGCTGGGAGTGGTTTGTTTGATGATGATGAGGCAGGGTTATAGGCAGCAACACCTCATGCAGAGCTGTGGTGGGGCAGAATTTCTTCTATCTTGGAATGGTATGGCCAGCCACAGTTTTTGAAACTCTTCATGGGGAAGTTGGGCTGTAAAGACAAAATAAGTGTCAGATCCAACAGATACCTAGGCAATATCTCTGTGTACCTTCCTGCTAACATACTCCTCCCATACAGCTTCAGCAGCAGGCCCCTCAATGTTGGCCCTGCGCTCATTGTCTCAATGACAGCCTGATTTGTGATTCCAATATGACTCAATGGCATTGTAGATCTGCTTTAACTACATTGCTAAGATCAGTATAGCCATGGTAGTGATCAATGAGAGATAACATACCATTGCCCATTTATTCTTACAATGAGCCCCAGTCTTCACAGGCCCAACTGTCCTCAAGCTCTCAATATATTTTGCAGCTTCATTGAATGTTGCTTCCTTGAAGCTTGTGCCTGCCATCACTGATTTGACTGAGATAAGATATGTGAGGAAGGAGTTGATTTAATTGGGGTTCCACTGGGCTTTAGGCTGAGCCTGCTGAGTACCCTTTCGTGTCATCTCAGCTACTTGTAGCTGGGTACAGAGGATGACAATAGTGACTGTGAGCCAGACTTGCTGGCACTGAGGACCACTAGGGCGATATTTGAGAGTCATGGTTGGAAGGAGAGGCATTTCAAACTCAGCTTTCAGTGGACATCATGCTGAGACAAACACAATTCTGAATTTCGAAAATTTTGCTTATACAGTGGTTACTGAACTGGCTCTTATGCTGCTCACATCTTTATACTTGTTCACTCGATCTTTCTCTACATCTTCTGATCTGCCTGATTCAAAGACATCAAGCACAAACCAGACTTACACCCATTGACAACACTCATGGACAGGTTACAATCTGACCCAAGTTCTCTCATTTGCCCAGACTTCATGAGTGAACAGTATCATGCTTCCTGCACGCCTTTTGTCTCTGCTACCTTCACTGATGCACAGGCTGCTGAGTCTCTTTGAGGAGTCTGGGTGGCAACCAATGAGGACCTATGCATACAATGGAGACAACAAGCAGCTGAAGATGAAAGACTTCATACCAAACAAGCCTGTCTAGCTGAAGAAGAGGCAATTTGTGGTAGGCAAATTCAGCAGCTCAAGGAAAAAGTGGTTCAAACGGATGAAAGGAAGAAGAACTGTTTCAAACACACCAACTTGCTTACATGCCCTCACCCAGACACCAATGAAGATGAGGCCTTTGTTTCAGACTTCACCTTGAGGAAATTAGACAAGGGTCACTTCATAGAGCTGTACTACTGGATCAATGAGGGTCTGGACGAGACCCTATCTCCACTTAGTACCCACAATGACAAAGGACTGATCCCTTCCAAACAGAATGGATCTACTGTCTGGATTAGTGTGGTGGTATCTAAACCATCCAAGCATGTAGTCCCTGATTGCCTTTTACCCCTAGCAGACTTTATGCAAGCTATCCCATGCATCATTGCTACTCTAGAAGAGCAGGACTGGCCCCAACAGCATGTCTTCATGCTTGCTCAGTTTTGAGGGGCAATCATGACTCACTGGTACTGGAACTCCAAAGACAAAGTAGCCAAATGAGCCTTGATGATATACCAAGAAGAACAGCACTGAGCTTGGCACAATGCCATCACGTTGGGCACTGAGGCTTGGGATATCTCTATCATTAGTGACATTGTTCTTGCCTGACTCTTTGATTGAATCCTCTGTGAAACTCGGCATCAGGAACATGATGCTCTGGTATGTTTAATACCCTTAGGACACACACATCAACTAATTCACTTTCCATCTTTTTCTCATATGTGTTGAACTTTGCTGGAATCCCTGTGTTCTGCCATTATGCCTTTGTGCACTTTGCTCACATTGTGAATGGCATCTGTACCTGCATTTCTCATCCCTCATTGGTCATTTATGTCATCCATTCCCCTGTTTGCATTGCATTGTGTTGCATTGCATCTGTGTTTACTTTCTGCATGGCATTCACCATCATTTTAGATGAATGCCAGCTCCAGCATCCCAAGCAATCTGGTTGAGCACTCCATACAGTGCTCTAAGCACTCACATTGTTCCAAATCCCTACACAACTGGAGGCATTCAGCATCCCCAAAATCTAACAAGAAGGGCTTCAACACTCCTAATAACATTAAACAAACAGGCCCAAGGTCGGGTTTTTGAGACAGCACACATAGCACCTGTTCCTCCACAGTGTGCACTGTCTGACTGGGAAGGAACCATCACAGTTTCATCAAATGTACTGCCAAGCACATGTGAGATGGGGCATTTGCAACAGTTGCCACACACATGAACAAACAATTACTCCTCTGCAGCTCAGACAAACTGTTATGCATTAACTGGCAGCAAGCCTATTGCACCAGTCAGTCTCATGACAAATGCCACATCTGCTCAGGGTGTCTCACTACCACCCACAGTGCCCACAACTGTTCTCAGGCACAGGCTCTTGTACCTGATCTCACCAGATGACCACATTACATGGAAACATCAGCTCCATACATACGATCTTCTCAACAAGTACCCAAATCTACCATATAGCCTACAGTTTAGTTTCAATCTCAAACTTCCTCACATTGCACATACACAAATGCCCAAAAATAGCCCATTTCTTTTTACCTTCTGTGACACCTTTGAGTCCTTACTTGCCTGTGAACTCTTCACTGGCCACTATCTTGGTCCTTTCACTCATAATGACATGCTTTCATTTCTCAATCTGTTCCAGTCCTCACCCATCTCAATTATACCAAAAACCAGGAAGCCAGGAAAATTCCACATCATACAAAACTTTTACTTCCCACTTGTTCTGTCATTGGCTCACCCCAATCATTCTATCAATGCATGTGTTAACTCAGATGATTTCCCTTGTACTTGGGAAACATTTGAGACTGTCTGTACCATTATCTGTTCTCTCCTGCCAGGCTCTTAGGCAGCCACATGGGATGTTGCAGAAGCTTACCATACAGTACCTCTGCATCGTTCACAATGGCCAGCTGCAGTGGTTCAACTCCCAGATGGAAACTTCTGTGCTGATACCTGTATATCATTTGGTATGGGTCCATCTGCTGGTGTGTATGAGCATCTGGCAGATGCTGGCACTAATGTTTTATGTGCAGCCAGTCTGGGTCCACTCACAAAATGGGTGGATGATCATTTGTTCTTTTGAATCCACCGTGAACACCTCACCATCTATAATACCCAGTGTGCTTTGACTCACAAGGTTCTGGCTCATTTGGGCCAACAGAAGTCTAAGGGGAGAATATGGTATAAAGGTGAAGTTTTTGATGATGAATCCTTCAAAGTCCATGCAGAAGATTATCATTTCCCCTTGTGTGACCTCTCCTCCTGTTCATCTCATTCAATCTTTGACTCAGACTTCACCTTTTCCTTCACCAACATCAAGTAACTCTGTTTACTTCTCAGGATTCCATGGGAACCATCAAAAGACATTACATTTTCCTTTGAAGCCCTTTATCTAGGCCTCCTGTGGAACATTCCTCATCACACAGTACAATTATTGGCATCCAAAAAAGAGAAGTATTTGGTAAACATCATGGACTGGAAGTCCCACAAGACCCATGTCCTTCTGGACATCCAGAAACTCTATGGGAAGCTACTGCACACCTGCCTGGTTGTCCCAGCAGGATATGCTTACCTCACATTACTGGAAACCATGCTTGGAGTCTGCAATAGTTGTCCATTCATGCCACGTCACCCTGTTAGACACATTGGGGAAGATCTTGACTGGTAGTGCACAAACTCAGCCTCCCACATGTCAAACAACTTATCACACAGTCTTCCCACCTGCTCAATATCCATGCCTTCTCAGATGCAAGCACCTCCATTGGAATTGGTATTGTTATCAGTGGGTATTGGTAGGCATGGACTCTTCACCCTGGCTGGCACACTCTCAATGGTCAATGTGACATTGGGTGGGCTAAGTGTGTTGGCTTTGAGCTTCTTGTCCAAACCATACTTGATAGGAGTGAGTACAACCATCACACGCATTTCCATGTGTTCTGTGACAACCAAGGAATTATTAGTGGCTGGAGAAACGGGAGGAGTCACAACAGAGTGATGAACCTTGTCTTCAGGTGCATCCTTGAACTGCTCAAATCATGTGGTGACAGCACTTCCTTCCACCTCTGCTACATCCCCAGCTACAACAATCTGGCTGATGGCCCTTCAAGAGGTATATTCCCCCTGCATAGCCTCCTGTTACCACTAGTATCTCTCCTAGGAGACCTACATCGCTTCATCTATGATGCAGACCTTTCCACAAGTGCAACCCACCCCATGATCCATGACACTTACCTGCCTGACAGCAGCCTATCAGAATCTAATGGCACCTGGGACTGGGGTGACCAGCTCCTCCAGCTCCAGGATGCATGGCATGACTAACTCATCCCATTTTACATCATCCACTCTCCTTCTCTCAGGCCAAGGGTCCACACAGCCTTGTCCTTACAGCTCCACATTAATGCCCATCTCTTCAGGCTTATGCCCACACTGTTTAGCTTGAGATCATCTTCATTTGTGGCAGCCCCAAGTACCTCATTCCTGCTTGGATCATACAGGATCACTAGTAAGCATTTTGGACAGTGACATTGACCACATCATCACTGTTCTCACTCACTCACATGCACCAAGCACATGTGAGACTTATGGCTCTGGTCTTCTAGTGTTCCATGTATTTTGTGATGCCCATAGTGTAGGGATTTCATATTCTGTGGGCTTGTATAGGTAGATATTACTTAGTGTTATGTTCGCACTTTTGGTGCTTATGTAATCATCATAGTTTTCACCTCTTGCCAGTACCAGTTTGAGACTGAGCAGTTATTAGCATGATTTCCTACTCTCTCTGAGCACTGAGCTTAGTCCAGAAACCCTTTAGGGTTGAATAGCAGCTAGGCATAGCACATTTAGCCCAACATTAGAAGTCTACTTTCCAGTTCTCTTCTTATTGTGTTTCCCACAGCGGGATCCCTGAGGAGCAGCATTGCTCTGCTTCCTCAGTTTTGATATTAGCCTTCATCACTGTGTGCTCTGGGCTATACTCTGGGAAGAGTCTTGAAAACTATTTCTATGCTATTCAAGCATGGCACTTACTCATGGTCAACCCTGGCTGGTGAACCATAATCAATGTACACTAGCCCTAGGTGGTGGTAAATGTTTGGAACCCAAAGGCTCCAAATGCCCAAAGTGTGCTCCTTTCACTGTTGACCTTCTGATAGCCATTCAATCAACCCTGGACCTCCCCTCTCCCCTGCATGCAGCTATCTATGTGTGTCTCACAACCTCCTTTTATACCATCACACAGATTAGTGAGTTCACTGTCCCCTTACTGCTAAGTTTTGACCCACAATGTCACATCACAGTCGAGCAATTTGCATTATGATGTTGACTGTCATGGTTTTCATGTAGCCATCTTTCACTTACCACAGACCAAAACTTCTCTCATTGGTGAGGACATATATTGGGCAGGCTCAATCTGGGCTGTCCAATCCTCAGTCAGCCCTGTCCAACCATCTGACCATCAATCATCCTCCACCTAGCACTGCCTTATTCAGCTGGCATCATCACTCTGGACTGCATCCTCTGACAAGAGGTGAATTCATCAAATGCCTTCAGGTGGCCAGTACCCAGTTGGGAACAGGTTCATTGAAAGCCCATGGGATTTGGATAGGTGGAACCCTTGAGTACCTTCTTTGTGGTGTTCCCTTTGAGAATGTCAAAACAATGGGCTGCTGGAGTAGTGATGCTTTTGTTGGGTACCTATGGAAACATGCTCTAGTGATGGCCCCATTCCTACAAGATAAGCCAGTACTGGAGCCCTTCATGTGTTACACTCTGCTGTCTCCATTGTAAGGCACAAAAGGTACATTTTGTTTCAACCTCCTTAAGACTAGGGATTCAGCTCACGCTAGATGCATCATTTGCTCCTTACTTCCAGGGTATCTCAGCTCAGTCTTCACCCCTCTTCAGGAGGCATGCTTCAGTCTAAAGCCCCTCAGGGCTTTGCCAAAAACAGACTTTTTCCAATATTAGAACATACCCACTCATTGCTTGTGCCTATTGATCCTCCATTGGGACTTGTACTCTCATTATTGATACATATCTGTCCTTTGCTAAAGACTCATACACTTATTACATGCACTTGTTGGCCCCTACTTAGGACTCATTTACTAGTAGTTGCGGCTGATCTGATTATCCCTGGTTGAAAACTAGATGACATGTGTCCATTATCATTTCCCTCGGTTAGGCACAATCTTCAACCAAGGAACATAGACGAAGGTCTGGAACTTTCTCTTTATTATTTAATATTACTATACATTTATTTTATGGCACCCTCCCTTGATATACCTTACTTGTGATGTGCTACAAATTCAAATTAATTAATAAAAAACAATAAACATATACTGCTTCACACCAGAAATCTATAAAATAAGATGCAATGGGTGGGAATCATCTCACCAGCTCATGTGGCTTTCACATAGATATGCTTAGATGCACTTAGGAATGCTTAGATGCGCATAGGGATGCTTAGATTCACTTAAGAACACTTAAGAATGCTTAGCTCACTTAAACCTCTTTTTGGGAATCTCGTGTGGCCTGGTCACAGGTTTTCAAGCTCTGACTTAATACTGTTGCCTGTTCAAGTCAATAAATAATTGATGCAGCCAAGGCCAGGAAGCCAAAAAGGAGTGCGAAGCACTCTGTTTGCTTCCTGTGCCAAAGGCACAATGGGTGTGAAGCTAGTCTATAAAGTAGGATGTGATGGGTGGGAATTGTCTCACTAGCTCACGTGGCTTTCACATAGGGCCATATGGTTTTTGCTAAATGCCATGTGTTTTTGCTTAGCTCGCTTAAACCTCTTTTTGGAATAGTATGGTATCTCACATGGCCCAATCATGGGTTTTCGAGCTCCAACTCAATACTGTTGCCCATTTGAGTGCAGCACATGTCAATAAATAATTGATGAAAAATTGAATGAGAGAACAGGGGAATCACTGCAGAAATGACTTTTTAGCCGGAGGTAAAACTAACCCTGATTATGGGTATAATCTGAGCTAATACCAACCCAAGTTGTAAAGTAGACTAAAACCTGACTTGCGAAGTTTCCGAGACTCTGAGGTGTGGGTGAAAAACAAATCTGAATCTAAATAGATGTCTCATTACATTCAACACATGTAAGCAAACCATATTTGGATTGGGAAGTGTGCTTGTTCCAGATCATAATTTTCTTCTCTTTATACCTTGTATCTCTACTGCAACCCACCTTGGAAAAGTGTTTATGTTCAAATTCTGACCCTTGACATGTTCAGGTGAGCTTCTAATGGCTTTTTTCACTAAGTCCCCACAAGTTACCATGAACCAAAGTCAAGTAGGCCAAATAATCAAGCTTATGGTTCTGGAGGATTTTAAAGAACTATCTCTTACCTTTGGTAGGAAGGAGGCTGGCCCCGTGGTATGTACCTTCAAGTTACAGTTTCATTGGCTCACATACCTGTCATTAGACCATCGAGATTGCAATTAAAGTCTCTGACCATAACTGCCCCACCAAAGTCTCCCTCAAAAGGCCAACTTCCACTCGAAAGGATGATAGTGTCATGAGCCCGAGAGTGAAGATCTCAACCAACAACCAGTACAGGTAAGACATCTTTAGTATGCACTGTTCGCAGGAACTAAATTAAAGTGTAAGGCACAGGCAAGCTCTTCAAAGTTCAAACATGAAACAGTCGGTGAGGGAAAGCAACCATCATCCAAGGCTTTAAACTCTCCCTCTAAGTGCCCCAGAAAAACTTTGTAGTACCCACATATCTATGGCTTCGCAAATAAACTCTTTCAAACAACTTTCTGTTACTCTTGTTGCCACATGACCTTAGCCCTTGTCTCAACATGTCAAATGCGACTTTAAACATCATCCTCACCATGCCTTATGTTTGCTGTTACTGCAAGATCAACAATTGTAGTGGAACCCTGACTGCTGTCCACACTGCATGCTCCCATGGACGTGCTGATTTATGCCAGACCACGATTTCCTCGCAGGCCCAGTTTAAGTGAGTCAGTCAAAAGATCTTACAGAATTCTTGGCAACTTGAAGATATAGGTCCTGTGTCTTGTCAATTTGCAGTTCTTCTTCGTGACCCTCCAGCACCTCTTTCCCCACATGTCAACTTTGCTGATCCAATTTTCAAACCAGAGATACTAGACCTTGGCAATCTCACACATGAGGATCTTCAAGAAACTAATGCTTGTGAAGTCACACCAAACTTGGGGCCCAATTTCAATACTCCTGAAGCACTTCTACGAAATGTGGAACATTTTGAGATGTATAACAGGGCCACAGCTGTGGGTGCTTGTTCACTCACTCCATACATCATGCACAACCTTCCTCCAGATCTGGAATGACGCAGGTTTGAGTGAGAGCTGGAAGATGCTATTGACGAGATATGGCAAGAACAAAGCCACCAGCAAGATGACAACACTGCCAACCCAGAGGAACCAGAGGGTGACGGTGATGTTGACATGGACTTCAACAATCCAGAGGATGAGGAAGATGACAGAAACCCCATTATAACCCAACCAGATGAAGACAATCCAGACCCATTTGTGGTGGAAGATGGATTCATCTTGATGGACAACACAGATCTTGCCAGCATCCCACCACACCTCCTGTCAATATATGTAGTTGTCTCCTGGTTACATCTGCAGTTTCACTTGCCAAGAATTGCTTGCAATGCTTTGCTTGTGATCTTTGCATGTGTTCTTCTTTCGATCATGCCTGGGATTGACATTGTTATGAACTAGGATAGTATAATGACTGCAGCTCGATAAGAGCGATGGCTGAAGTTATGGTCTAAACCTTGCAAATACAAGGGTCTGTTCAAGGCAAGATAAAGAGTGTCTTTATCTTGAATATCAGTTATAATGACTTAAGATTGGAGATCTTAAGTGAAGGAATGCTCAGGTGAAAACCTAGTAAGATTAAAGTAAAGAAACTAAAGCATACAGGAGAACTATTTATAGTGGGCTACTGTGCTTTAGGGCAAGTGTGAGAACGAAGTGAGTCAGAGATAAGAAATGCATAAGCGATAGCAAGGATAGGTCATCTAGCAATGGCGACTGCGGTTGTGATGTAATACAGAATACGAGTCAGAGGTAAGTCTAGCGGCAGCATTATGTGGCTTGTGATGTAATACAGTGGAAGATGGGAGAAAATGAATAGGGGTGTATGTAACTGTAACATTACCCCTCATTTAGGAATGAAGTCACCGACTTCAGTTATCCTGATTCACCCAGTAGATAGGGTCAGCATTGTAGTTAGAGTCTAACAAGTCATTTTGCTCCTCTGTAACCATATAAGATGATTTATCAGCCATCTCAGTGACATGATAAATAGCATCTTGCTCAATCTCCCAACAAGCAAGAGCCTCATAGAAACCTGTGTCAGTCCAAACCAGTGGAATAACCACTTCTCCCTTCAAGTCTTTACAAAAGACTGATAGATGCCCAGGTGCATACTCTTTGCAAACCCAACAATAGTATGCTGGGCAGTTCTTATGGTGATGCCTGGTGACACAACAGTTTTGACATACTACGTTGTCAATGGTTGCTGTTTTCACAGTGGTGATGGTGGACGATTGTGCAGGTGGAGATGGTGATCTAGATTGTCACTTCTGGTTTCTGTGTGGGGAGGCTGATGCTGTTCATTTGGCAATATGGGCGGATCTGTGTCTAGTAGGGTACCAATGTGTAGTGGGTGTGATGGGGGTAGGAGAAGGAGATGCTGGTATGTCAAGTACAGCAATAGGAGGGATATTATCATCTGAATGCTCAATGGTAACTGTCAGAAGAATTGGCGGTGGGATTGGAACAGCAATGTGTGGGGATGGAGGTTGTGCGACCGGGTCTGTAGTGATCCGCTCTGTGATGATATGGATAGCTTCCCTGATAGCTTCCCTAGTATCATCAGGCAACAGACGAATTGCAGTATTATGAATGTGTATATGAAGGTGGCGGAATATGGTCTTGTGACGTTCATCATCAAGAAGGTTAGCAGTGTGTTCTATGAGGCTAGTGTCTCTGATGATTTGGATAATGAGTCCACTAGAAATTGCTCCCCTTTCTCCCAGGAGATGATCTATCTCGATAGCGTATTGTTGGGATGTGAGAGCAGATTCGAATAGAGCACTTGTTTTGACTTGATCAATGATTGCGAAATAATCAGTGAGGGTAGAATCACTGGTCAGAGTAGAGTCAGACAAAGGTGGGGAAACTACTGGGGGGGATGCATTGTTGGCAAGGTTGACGGCAGTGGCGGTTTGGTAGTCAAGAAGGGACAATGGGTTGGTGATATTTTCGGATACAGTGTTCATAGCAGCAGTGAGTTCTTTGATGCATTGTATGCAGAGGCATAGGTGTTCAAGAGACATTGTTCTGGGGTTACAATTTGTGAGCCTTTTTATACGCAGCAAGGATGTTAATAGCATTGCTAAGGTTCTCTTCTGGGACCCATTCATTACTAGCGGAAGAGTATCCTTTCCAGGATAAGAGATAGTGTCTTTGTTTACCCATGCCTTTGTGTGATAAGATCGCATTGATCTTGTATTCTTCTTTGTTATCGATGACATCTGGGGGTGGATCATCGAAGTTTGGACCATGGACCTCTGTCTTGTGATAGGATGATAGTTTGGAAGCATGGAACATGGGGTGAACCTTCCACTGCAGTGGGAGCTGGAGTGTGAAAGTGATGGGAGATAGTACTGCAGTGATGGAAAAAGGGCCATATCATTTTGGTGCAAGTTTCCGTGATGTCATATCCCACAATCCAGACCCACATTCCATCATTTCCCATGCCTTCTGAGCCTACATCTGGACCCCATATCCAACTCATTCCCAGATCCCCTTCCACTGTGTACTCCACACCTCAGCAGGATCAACTATGCTCCAGATTTACCCCTGAGCTCCAGACCTCCGGATCCTCACTGCTAGCCTGATCCATACAACCCTATCCTGTCCACCCTATGTGCACTCCATCCAGCAAGACATCTGGACTTCACCTCGTCTTGGATTCCGGACTATATCCACCTTCTCATATCCCAGTCCTGTATCCACCTTGTCTTCTGGATCCCCAGATCTCTGGACCTCCAGATATTAACTCCAGACCTATTCCAACCCTCTGTCCAATATCCTGCACCTATCCCCATTTAGGCATCTCTGCCTTTCCAGCTTTCAGTTACCTCCAGTTCCGTCTTGCTTGTTGATCCTTGTACAAGTCCTCATCTCCAAGTTCCATTTACTTATGTTCCGACTTACTTACTAATGTGTTTCCACATGCTTGTACATAGCCCTGCTCCTTTGCTTACTGATCCCCTCAGATATTCTCCAGTATATAACCCCTGTAGATACTCCTGTAGTTTTCTTAGTTTGAATATCAACTTAGACTTGCCCAATCCTCTCTTGGACTTTGGTCCACCTAAGTCTGTCCTACCCATCAGGCCTAGGGATTGACTCCCTAGGCTAGAGCTCCACCTTTCTGGCACTTTCCCTCTTTCTGGACTTAGGTCCAATCCCTGTCTCTCCGACTCTACCTTAGGGTAGTCTACCTCTGTTTGTTTCTACATCAGACAAAGTCCAATGTAGCCCCTATTCCTTCTGGACCTCCAGACCTCCTGTCCCTTGTACTTCTGGGCATCCTGTCCTTCGGATGTTCTGCCCTCCATACCTTCGGACATTCTGTCCTCCTAACTCTTGGATGTCCTATCCTCCTGTCCTTCATACCTCCAGACATCCTGTCCTTCTGTCCTCCATCATCCTGTCCTCCTGTCCTCCAGACCTTTGGACCTCCTATCCTTCCATCCTGTTTCCTGTAGAAGTATTACCTTGCAGTGGGAACTCTCCTGAGCACTTCCTGCATTCCTCCAGAACTCTCCTGCGCTCCTCCAGACATTTCCTGTGCTCCTCTGGAAGTCCTCTAGTGCTCTCCAGCAGAGTAGCCAGCCTCCAGAAGTCCTCCAGACCTCATCAGACCATCATCGGACCTCATACAAAATGAAGGGCACATACTTGGGTAAGGGGCACAGTGTATGAGCTGAGGCCAAGCTCCTCTGAGTCAGTCTCTCTCCCCCTTGAGCAACATGGTTCTTAACATGTGATGGTAGCTGCATGATCAAATTCTTCCCTGATAACCAAACATTATCTCCTATCTTCCATGGGTGATATTTCTCTCCATGAGTTCATTCCACCATTCACTGCATAGCAGGGTTATGGCAGGACAGTGCTTCTGTCATATCCCATATGCCAGACATAGATCCCATCATATTCCCACGCTTTCCAGACCCATTTCCGGACCCCATATCCAACTCAATCCTGGATCCCCTATCCTGTCCACCCTACACACATTCCATCCAGCAAGACATCCGGACTTTACCTCCTCTTGGATTCCAGACTACATCCACCACCTCACATATCTCAGTCCTGTTTCCGCCCTGCCTTCCGGATCCCCAGATCTCTGGACCTCCAGATATTAACTCCAGACCTATTCCCACCCTCTATCTGAGATCCTGCGCCTATCCCCATTTAGGCATCTCTGCCTTTCCGGTTCTCGGTTATCTCTGTTTCCATCTTGCTGATTGATCCTTGTACTAGTTTCATCTCCAAGTTCATTTACTTATGTTCCATCTTACTTACCAATGTGTTTCCACATGCTTGTACATAGCCTTACTCCTTTGCTTACTGATCCTCTCAGATAGCCTCTAGTATATAACCCCTGTACAACTACAGTAGAGTCCTTAGTCTGAATATCATCTTAGATCCTGTTCTACTTGCCATTCATCTTCCGGACTTCAGTCTGTCTGAGTCTTGTCCTTTTCCATAAGGCCTAGGGAAGGATTCCCTAGGCTGGAATTCCGGACCTTCGGATTTATCCCCTATGTCTCTGTCCCAAGTCTAGGGATTGCTTCCCTAGGCTAGAGTCTTGCCTTTCCAGCACTGATCTTTATAATAAAGGATATCATCTTTGATCATCCAATCAGCAAGAGCAGATTTCATTGGAGGGAGAGATAGGCCATCAAGGGCATCAGAAGCAGCTTGGAAGATGGGGTTGGGGTCGGAGGGATCAGGGTTCACAAGGGAAGTCATAAGTTTGACATCAAGAAGGCAAACGAACATGGAGTCAGGGAGGAGGGTGACATCTGCATTATTGTTGGTGGTGTCGACACCATGATCAGGGCAGCGGGAAAGTGCATTAGGGGCAGCAAGCTTGGTTCCAGCTACATGATGAAGCTCAAGGTCATAGCAGGACAGAAGCAACTGCCAATGGGCTTGCCGATGAGTTAGCTTTTGGGTTGAATGGAAGTACAAAAGGTTTTTATGGTCAGTGAAGATGAGGATGGGATGGGGGTTGCCTTCCAAATAATGACGCCATTCGGTTAGAGCACAAATAACAGCTAGGAGCTCTCAATCAAATATCTGGTAGTTGCGTTCTGCGGGGTTCAATGTCTGTGATAGGTACCCACACAGGTGGTAAACACCATTTTCATTGGTTTGCAGCAATACTGCACCAGTAGTGACAAGTGAAGCATCGGTAGCTACCACAAACTGTCTGCTCAGATCTGGGTTTCAAAGGACAGGTTGTTTTAGAAAGCATTCTTTCAGGGTGGAGAATGTGGAGACACAATGATTAGCCCATAGAAATTTAGTGTCTTTCTTAGTGAGATCAATTAGAGGTCTGGCGATGTCAGAGTAGTGGGGGATGAAGTTTCAATAGAAGTTGCAAAATCCTAGAAATGACCAAACTTCTTTCACCATTTTAGGGATAGGCCAATCGTGAATACTGTCGGTTTTGGCGATATCCATTGCAACACATCCAGGGCGTATAATCATGCCCAAGTATTCCACTTCTTGTGCATTGAAGGTGCATTTCTCCAGTTTCAAGAACAGCCTTTCCTTGCAAATTCTTTCAAGGATACATTGGGTTCGATCATGATGGGAGGTGAGATCATTGGAAAAGATCAGAATATCATCCATATAGATGATGAGCCATCCTTCATTGATTTCTTGTTGGAATGTACGGTTCATATATGCCTGAAATGTAGTGGGAGAGTTGCAAAGACCAAAGAACATAATGTTGGGTTCAAACAGTCCATATTCTGTGGTAAAAGTGGCTTTCCAATGATCATCGGGATGAATCTGGATATTGTTATAGCCGGAATGGATGTCCATCTTTGTGAAGTATTTTGCACCATATAACTGGGCGACCAGTGAGAGTGGTAATGGGAGAGGGTAAGTGTTCTTGACCGTCCAATCATTGATATATCGATAGTCCTGACATGGTCTAAGATCTCCACTTTTCTTTCCTACAAAGAAGAACCCACTTGCTTGCGGTGACTTTCATTCAGAAATAAAGCCCTTCTTTACATTTTCTTCAATAAAGGCTTTGACAGCAGTGCACTCTGCCTCAGATAATGGGTACACCTTTGATGTTTTAGGAATGAAGCTGGGTTTGGTTTCAATGTGATGGTCGATGCTGGGTCATTCTGGTGGTAACTTGTTAAGACCGTCATTAGCAAAGACATCGGCAAAATCATGGAGGTAGGAGGGGACAAGTTCTTCGAATGACTTCTTCTTCTGTTCAAGCCCTGCTGCTAAAGCAAACTGCTGAGCTTTATTACTGGTTTTGGTGTATTCAGTAGGCCATGACAGGGGTATGACTGTGGGTTTCTGTTCTGCGATACTGGTACCATCTTTGGTTAATGGGGTGTCCATAGAGGTGTTGGTGATAACCCGGAGCTCGGTAGTGTCAGCAGGGTATTCGACCAAAAATTCATCATCATCAAGGTAATACATAGTGATCTTGCATACAGGTGGTGCATAGTCCGAGGTCCACACATCCTCTTTGGTATTAAAGGAATCATCTTCATCATTGGGGATGGGATCGAGGTTGGGCAGTACTGGGGATGCTTCTTCATCTGGGATTTCTTCAATAGTAGCCTGCGGTGGCGATTTTGATTTCACAAAAGGTGCCTTTGGTAGCACTACAACTGGAGTTGGTTCTGATTTCTGACTGGTTTTGTGGAAGAGAGGCGGGAGACCATTCTTCCTTTGTTCATTATCAACATCTTCTTCAATCAGATCGCTCTTCTCGCTTCGAGGGAGTTCTAGCATTTCCACTTTCCATCTAATTATTGGGTCCATAGCATGCAGCCAGGGAATCCTAAGTAAAATCTGATCATGATGGCCAAGCCATGTGATATTAAACTTTCCAATCATGGATCATTCATCAATTTTCACAATGAGGACACAATATCGGGTGATAGCGCCCCCTTTGCATAACTTCCATCTGCAGTAGTGACTCGAAATGGTTTCATGAGTTTGTGTGTCCAAATCCCATGGGTTTTGACGAAGTCCTCTGAGATAAATGTTCTGGCAGTGCCAGAGTCAACAATGGCTGTTGTTTCGACAGTTTTCAGATGAGTTTTAGAAATGAGGGAAATAGGAACACAAAGTTCCTTTCTAATTCCAATACTTTGTACAAGCCTGATAGGTACATTGAAGATACTGACATCAATCCAGTCTTCCATATCAAAAATCCTCAGTGATGTGATGATCATTGTATCTTCATCTTCCTTATTGCTATCCTCAATCTCCTCATGACAAACTGGGGTTTTCCTGTTCTTCTTCTGAGGGCAAGCTCTAGTCATGTGTCCCTTCTGGTGACATGTAAAGCATAACCCCTTCTTCATATGATCATTTCTCTCGGCTTTAGTAAGCCAATCTACTTCCATGGCATTTGGGTCATGCCGATCAATGGAAGGTCTGGGTACATATCACTGTCCAGTTGGCTTGGTGGTAGTGCGATTGTTCTGTTGGAACATGGCACCCCTTTGCCAGTTACTGTCAAGCCTGATGGCTGTGGCGATGTACTTGTCAAAGTCCTGTGGGAATGGTTTACATTTGATAGATGGAATTACTGATTCCTTTCTTAAGTCCATCATTGAAAAAGGTGATTAAGATGGTAGTCTTGCTTTACAGAGGCCTGCGCAGTAAGGGTCTTGAAGCTGGTGATGTAGGAAGTGACACACTGGGGTTTGGGAGTTTTTCACTATGTAAGATTTGTTTCAAAATGTTAGTGATAAAGTTGGCATTCTTACTGTACATTTTGACATGGTAAAAATGAAAAAATTGGATGAGTGACCAAATCCTGGGCGAAATTCTACATTTTATGAATCATTTTGACATTGTAAAAGAAAGACATTTCACCAACAGCAAGATCTGAAGAAAAATGATTAAACATTTTGATTCAAATCTTACATGGGGTGAAATTTGAGGAAAATTTGAAATAAAAATTTCGAAACACATTTTACCTAATTGGAAAGGAATTTTACCCTGTGTGCAAGATTTGAATCAAAATGTTCAATAATTTTTCTTTAGATCTTGCTGTCAGGTGAAATATCTTTCTTTTACAACATCAAAATGATTCATAAAATGTAGAATTTTGCCCAGGATTTGGTCACTCATCCAATTTTTTCATTTTTACCATGTCAAAATGTACAGTAAGAATGCCAACTTTATCACTAACATTTTGAAACAAATCTTACATAGTGAAAAACTCCCAAACCCCCTGTGTGTGAGATTGCCTGTCTGTTTCAAGGTGCGGAGTTTGTTCATAGCTGTGCCAATGGCATCAGCTGGTATGAAGGCTTCTTTGAACTTTGTTTCAAAGTTTGCAAAGGTTCCATAGGATTTGGAAATGGAGTTGTCAACTTCGGTATAGAATGTGAGGGCCCATCCCATAGCACTATCTTCGGTCATACATATACGTGAGAGTGGTAATGACTTTCTTTTCATCGGTATTATAGATTGTAGCATTAAGAGCAAAATATGCCTTAATTGCATACAACCATTGTAAAGCCTGCTGAGGGCGTCCACCATAAGATGTTGGAGCTCTGGCTTTAAGTTCTGAGGTGGTGGTAGGTGCTGACATCCTGATCATCTGATCTTAGTGATGCGTCTGGTTACAGGGGATGTTACGTCTCTCTCTGTCTGGTTCTGGTTTTCTGAGTTCTGGGACCTCTCTGATGGAGAGGGTTGGAGTAGGACTTTAATCTTTTGTTATGAACTAGGATAGTATAATGACAGCAGCTCAATAAGAGCAATGGCTGAAGTTATGATCTAAACCTTGCAAATACAAGGGTCTGTTCAAGGCAAGATAAAGAGAGTGTCTTTATCTTGAATATTGGTTATGATGACTTAAGATTGGAGATCTTAAGCGAAGGAATGCTCAGGTGAAAACCTAGTAAGATTAAAGTAAAGAAACTAAAGCATACAGGAGAACTATTTATAGTGGGCTACTGTGCTTTAGGGCAAGTGTGAGAACGAAGTGAGTCAGAGATAAGAAATGCATAAGCGATAGCAAGGATAGGTCATCTAGCAATGGCGACTGCAGGTTGTGATGTAATACAGAATACAAGTCAGAGGTAAGTCTAGCAGCAGTATTATGTGGCTTGTGATGTAATACAGTGGAAGATGGGAGAAAATGAATAGGGGTGTATGTAACTGTAACAGACACCCCATTTATTACTTTGCAGTCAAGTCACCACATACTCAGTGTCAATATTCCAACTTTTACACTCCCCATCTGTCCCTCATGCCATGATGTATACCCACCCACAGGTTCACCACATTCACACAAAACTTGCACAAGCTGTAAGATAGACCTTTTTCTTCCTGGTATGACGAAGCAAGGAAACCAACACCCTGTCAAAACACTCATCATCAAATACCCATATCTGCCTCTATCTGAGCAGATAAAGTCCTTGCTCAAGGTCCCAGGTCTTGAAACTGTTCTGGATGATTGGCACTGCAAATCTCATTCTCCTGGACAATATGGTGATATATTTGATGGCACGGTTTGCCATACAAAACTCAAAGGGCTGGATGGTAAATTATTCTTTTCTAATCTTCCTCATGAGAAGTGTGGTCCAGACAGTGAACTCCGGATTGGTGTTAACCTCAGAGTCAATTGGTATGTGTATCAATGGCCATCTGTAGTCCACCACACTTATGTATCACTTGTTCTTGTTAAGTTCTCATATATTCGCAGCAACATGCACCATCTCACTCCTTGTGTCCAACATCATTCTCTATATGTAACCTTCCACCAGAGTATCGGTGTGTGTTCTCCAAATTCTCTACATGTATCACTCACAGAAACCTTATAGATATTGCACATCAAACCTTATGTGCATGGGAATACTTCCAGTCCTAAAGAGCAAAGTCCGATCAAATCCAACAATTCCTACATCCAATGATCTCTGACCTCCTTTGTCTTTGGACATTCAGCATCAAAATTCCAATGGAGTCAGGCCTGCAGGGTATGTTATATCCTCATGACACTTATTTAGATTCAATGCTGCTGTTAGGTCATGTTGTCCGTGTTATTTTGGTTGTTGTCATATGTGACAAACCTGCTGCCCATAAGATGGGTGGTTTTGCATCACACTCTCACATGAATTTTTGTATGGCATGTTGGATCTCTATCAGAGACAAAGACAAACCAGATGCATTTGTGGATGGAGGTTTGTGATTGAGTTTCTACTTTTTCATCCTTACTATAATTCTACAGCTTTTAAACCATGGACCAATGAGGAGCAACATCAACTTGGGGACCGGTATCGTGAGCTTATGACACCAACAGCATGCAAAATTTTTGTAAAGGAGCATGCCACTCATTATACACAGTTGTCTCATCTACTGTACTTTGATTTGGTTGAGCAAATTGTTATTGACCTGATGCACAATCTATTCCTAGGCATGTAGTTCTGTTTATATAGACAACAAACTAATCATTTGTTTTCAGGTCTTGTCAAAACTCATTTTTATAATATCTGGGTCCAGAGCAAAATTCTCCGACCAAATTGCAAGCTTAACACCTTCCACAAGATGCTTGCTGATGTAAGTCTTCATGCCTCCTGCATCAGATTAGTTGTACTCACTTCTCACACATATAGTTCACAGTTCCAGGTTTGTGTGGGAAATTTCCCATGGACATAGGCATGCCCTTGGGAGGATCCCTTACCACTGATCAATGGCTTCTACTTGCCACTGTTTATGGGCTGATCATTGTGAGTATTTTCTCTTGTTGCAGATCAGATTCGTACCAACTCACCAAAAAGATCTCTCAATTATGGAGTGCATGTCTACCTTCAGATGCAGATGAACAAACTCTACAGAATCATGTGGCCATGATCAGCAAATTCAACACAGAACATGAAGCACAGGCAAAGGGCAAAGCAAACGACAAGAAGGCCCTCGAAGAAGTGAGGAAGAAAGGCAAAGATGCTTACACTGCTGAGAAAGCAAGGATCACCCTCGAAAAACTTGCTGTCACAGAAGCCAAGAAACAGGAAAAGTTATGCATCACTGCTGCGAAACAAGCTGAAAAGGTTCATCTTGCTGCAGAAAAGAAAGCCAAGGCTGTGGAGATAAGGGTAAGTGATTTCTTTAATCCTGCTTTAAATCCGCAATGGCTGAGTATATCATATATCACTGATCAGATTGGTAAAAACGAAAGGCATCATCTCAGGTAGTTGAAGATCTACCTGAAGGCCAAATTCATCCGCCACTCCCACCACCAGCTGTATCTTCTACAGGAATGCGAACCCCTACACAAGATGAAACTACTGAGCAGACAGGCAATGATGACAGATGCGAACATGAAATTTTCAATGCACCCTGATGATCCACTGAATTTTCTCAAGCTTTCTGCTTCACTCCGTCTACTAATGAAGCACAAGATTTCTGACAATGACATATCTTGAGCTGATCAGCTCATTCATGAATACAGTACTGAGCTCATTACAGTATTTCCCTTGGTGATTCTATTCTGTTCAGTTTGTTAACTAAATGATTTAAATCTAGCTATATGGATCAAGTGTAATCAAACCTAATCACCACTATGCAATGCATGTTGGTGATTGTGCATGAAACTTTGGACTGCTACATGATTTCTGGACATTCCTTTTCAAATGGCTCAATAAGGTCCTCAAGTCCTTCAAAACAAATAATCACACAAACAGAGAACTTGAGACTACGTTCTTTCAAGAATTCCAGAGGGTATCTCACATAGGGCACCTGGTGAGTCATATGTCTACATTTTCATATCATCTAATGCTTCATTTAGACTTACTCTCTTCTTTGCCACCCAAAAGACTTGCTACCTTCTGAAGTTGCAGAGATCATGCTCAAGGCTACAAATGAAGAGCACAGAACTGTTGTGGGTTTGGCTGCTTTGTCTCAAGAACTGGATGATGTCAGTGCTGATGGTATGTCAATCTCACTCATCAATGTCTACTGCAGTTTCTTGACAACAATCATTAGGTAATGTGTCATATGTGCTAAGTCCATGACATAAGACAAAAGAAATGTCAACCAAAACTTATCAGCTACTTGCACACACTCTTTGCTTTTATTTCCCTCTTACTCCTGTCCATTGTTGGTCTGATAGGGCTGTTGTGTCTCACAGTATCCCTCTCAACTGTGTAGCAGTTTTTTTCAACTATGTAATTGTCAATGGCAAACATTATCATGCCTCCAGGACAACAGGCGCAAACAACTCATCTTTTGTCCATGTTGTGATACCTGGCACAACTCCAGTCCATGCTTACAGTGAGGTTTTAGAAATCTTCCAGTTCACACAGGATTTTTATGGAGCTGGCCAGTCATTATGGTTTTCTTGAATGCAGTGGTTCAAGCCTTGGACAGGGGAATGCGCAAAACTATGGAATAAATTGTGAGTTCACTATCATCACTTCTTGCTTGCAAAGTATTATTGATCACTATGACAAGTGCCTCTGTGAACATCCATTTATGGGAGCTCAGGGAGTATCGTAACCAAAACACCCAGCTCCCTTTTCTTATCAACCCTGAATGGATCTATGGCCAGTTAGCATTAACTCCAGTATCTATCAGTGAAAGTCGCCAAAAGGTTTGGGCAATGATTGATCTTGCAAAGGTATGTTCATTGATTACATTGCAGAAAGATTCTGATATTTTTCACAACAGTGAAACACATCATCTCATCAAAATACAGGGCAAGAAAGTGCGACAACTATTACCCAGCAGAAACTCACAGCATCAAGGTCTGAGGTTCTGTCTCATCATCCATGCTATCTTCACCATGCTGCTCCTCCAGCTCCTTCAAATACTTCCCATCCTCCTTCATCAAGTCCTCTTCCCTCAACCAACTGTAGAACCCTTTCAGCCAGTCAACACCATCTAGGAAGCACTGTATGATCTTTTTGCCACTTTTTGCTTACCATATTCTTGAAAGGTATGGTTTGCTTTCCTGAAGATGGCTCATGGTCATTCATATTTGCAGGAGAGACATCAAAGCCTTGTTTGAGGTACTTCTTAGTTCATGTGGTCTTGCCCATGTTTCTTTGGACATTGCTCACTGGCAGGCACTGCTGCTTCATTTTCCAATTGCTCTTCAGGACCTCCTGCATTACTGGTCACACTGTCCTTCATGCTTTTGAGCATGAGCCAACATAAGTAAGCCACATACTTGAAGAATAAAGTCAATTACTGAGTTCATCACAGGGAGAAAACTCACATTTGTGCTTTACCATTGATGTCCAACAATCATGTTGGCCAATTTTCCTACTTCAGCTTCTGTACATCTCTTCCACACATCATCTGATAAATTGTCCTCTGAGTATGAGAAGATATCCAATGCAAAATTGGTATCAATCATTGCAACAGCACCACAATTTCCAGTCTCCTGCTCATATTTGATAGCAGCCTGGCAATGAGCCTTTGTGGCCTTATCATGAAGGTATGTCAATTATATTTGACAGTCCATTGGCAATGCAGCTTACATTTTTATGACAGGCACACTGGCATCCATTGTCCTTTTGTTCTTGTGCTTATTGTGCTTTCTTAGCATCGCTTCAATCACTGACTTGTTTGTGTATATTCCAGAGTATGTCTTCACACAATCAGTAATGATGCCAATGTCAAAATCATCATCGTCTATCTCTGGTTTCAGGTTCTTATTCTCTCAAGGGCTCTGGTTTTTGTTATGTGAGTGTTCTGTTGTGTCATCGTTTAGTTTACTCATACCTTCTCATTGTTCCAAACATGTTGCACAATATTGTGGATAAACTTGGCATTCACAGCATCATCAACCTTCCCCAGCCAGTTCGGATGCCAAATTCTCTTATTGTCATCTGTGACCTCGAATGGCTCCCTGTTTGGAAGCAGTTTTACAGTGCCAAGTGCCAGTACATGCTCATTCTTCTTCATCGCTTATTCAATATCACAAAAATCACAGAACAATGGGTGTATGATAGGCTAAGAGGGATGGTAAGCAAATGGACTCTATTTGATGGTTCTATAACTTACTTTGAGCAAGATATGTTTATTGGATACATTCTTCAACCCAGCTTTCTTCTTGCCCACATTCTTACTCTCAGCTTGGATCAATTCAATTGCTTCAACATGCATGGTGAGTTGTTGGTTTGATTCAACAAGCTGTTGATTCAAGTTTTCAAGTTGCTGATTTGAGGCAAGCAGCTGGTTATTTGTGACATGCTGCAGGTTCATTGATTCTGATAGGCGTTGGACCTCTGCAAGCAGCTGCGCAATCATGGCACTAAGTCCCAGAGATTGGTCTGGACCATTGCTGTAACCTCATTGGTATGGGTGAGCCAGCTGTTCATGTTGGTTTGGTACTGAAAACAATAGTTGATAGCCACTAGTTCCTCCAACTTGGGGGGCAACTGATTGGGCACACGATGGTGGATCACTGTATGCAAATGGTGGGCAAGGATTGTGACCATGGTAAGGTGTCCCATTTGAGTTATTATTGAACTGATGCAGTGCATTCAGTCCAGAGTTTGGCTGTCTGTGCATGAGAAACGGGTCATCATGAGGCAAGGCTCCGTTGTCAATAGGTAGCGGTGACAACTGAGGTGGTCCTGCATTGTATGACTGAGGGTATGGATTGTTTGCTGGTTGATGGCTTTCTTGACTTACTGGACCCACAGCACCACTGGGATGTCGTTGGGTTCCCTGGTTGGTGGGGAACATGGCTGCTGGTTGGTGGGGGACAAATGCTCGCTCATCATTTTGCATGGACAAGCAGGATTCAGCGAGGAAAGCATTTCAGAAGCAGTCCTCATCATGTCTACCTAGAGTATAATCAGACCTGCTTTTGTTTAAATCCCAACAGAAAACAGATGTGAGGATCCTAGAATTCCAATTTGATTCTGCATCAGATTAGGCACCCAGGCAACAAACCAAGCCCTTTGAAATTCATAAATCATGATTTGCATTATGCCCTGGAATGAGTGTCTCTTGTGATCTAATTCTGATGTGACATATTTTCTTTGCAGGTTCGAGTTATTATCTGCATAAGCTTGCTAACTCCACTCTATCCAGTCCGGCTATTTTGTCGTTTCCACAGTGAATGGGGGAACGGACCAAAAGTGCTCGCTCTGCTCACACCTTTGGCCCATTCCCCCATTCCCCTGTTCTCTCATTCAATTTTTCATCAATTATTTATTGCACATGCTAGGATGCAGCCAAGGCCAGGAAGCCAAAAGGAGTGCGAAAGCACCCCGTTTGCTTCCTGTGCTGAAGGCACAACGGGTGTGAAGCTAGTAGTAATGAGGCCTGATTCTTGGTCTTCGAGAATATCACGCCAAGCTCGTGGCCAAGTCTGATACAGCAATCAGCTACAACTTCAATTGCTTTTCAGGAGCACATCCATGTGTCAACCAGCAGTAGTGTGTAGCACAGAAGATGCTCGGTATGATTGATTTGCAATGAGCAAGTGGTGTGCAGGGAGCGGGAGAATTTGTTTGTATTCATTCCAGGTTTTGTCATGGTACTTATTTATGTAAGTTGCGAAGTAGATATAGGTCATACCAGAGCTTTCGGCAAACTATAGTAGAGACTCTCCCCGACGCTGAGGTTCACGCACTCAATCTCAGTAGTGCTGTCAGAATCGTAGCGCCTGGTGGAAGTCCTGTTCGCTCCTGATGCCATCGCTGAAAGGTGGCCATTTCCACGACCTCAGACAAGTACCCGACCACTTAAGTGGCGCCTGTGGACCCTTTCAGCACCCCCGGTCATCCCAGCTGCTCCAGGGTTACGCACTGAGTACCTTCGGCAGGACTTTGGCTCGTTATTAAGGCTACTTTATCTTCATTGAGCCCATGCAGATCCGGTGCTGCAGTGCCACCGACCACATTCGAATGCGAATAGTGAGAAGCTAGCAAGCGCTGCAATTCGTCAATGGCATGAATCCTATTCACATTAAGAGAAATGTGCTTACACAATACGCTGTTTGTCTGTAAATACATGTTGGGCGGCTTCGCGGATGTCTAGAGCAGTACGTTTCTTGATGTGGTGCCAAGTCGACGCTTTAGCGAGATGATAGAGAGATACGGGATGATCTGGGTAACCCTGCGGAACTCAAATGCAACGCAAGGGCATTGCAGCCTAGAGATGCAATAAAGTCAAAGAGTCAAATTGCGAGCGTCCTTGTGGATATGGCATTCGAGAACAGGCACATGCTATGTTGATGAGAGTGACGACACGGTCGGGATGGTCAACCGGACACTGGTCCAGAACAAAATGTAATATCTCTACCGCATCGGTCATGTCAGAGACACACTTACCTGTTGGGTATTTATTAAGTCGCGTTGCCTGCATATATGCATCGAACATTCCTAAATCTAGCAATGGACTACAAATATCATTTTGTTAGTAGAAATCGAAGGCGTGGGGCAAGTGTTACTTACATTAAGTGGTGCACCATCCTGGTCTATGCAAGTCCGACCTTCGGCGTGAGAGACGGTTGGACACTACGAATGGGCGAAAGGGACAGCCTACGACAAGTCGATATACATGCATGAATATGAGGCGAACTACTTACGAAAGAGTTTATCTCCGTGACCGAGCAGTTCGTGCTACAGTATTTCAAGTTTGCCAACGACTTTTCACTGCCTCAACATTCGGCCAAGCTGGAAGGACACCGTGAGCATCTAGGTGACCCATCTGGTGATCTGCAAAGGAACGATGAGTATTAGAAACACGTCCCGGGCACATAAAATCCTACGAGTGTGAAGGAGGGAACTTTGTCATTCTGTCCGCTGATGACTAAAGATGGAGCAAGAATATCGTGAAATGAATACCAAGGTCGTAGCTCATACGTCAGCTAATGGTGCGTGTCAAAGCAAATAACAAGGAAAGTTGAGGATATGCTGAGTGAGGCGAAATGAGTAGTAGGATAAGACGGGAGTATAGTAGGGTGAAAAGAGGAACCTGAATAAAGCTAGAGTAGGCGCAAATACAATGTCAGTTATATCAGCTGCTATAGGTTGTTAAATGCAAAATGAAATAGCGGGTACCGTTTGTGGTGCAGACAATGGCAGGCACAACTTATGTATATGAGCAACGATCGAGCTAGTGAGCGCTGAAGCATTTGACGTGCCCGTCGTTTCGCGTGCTAATGTCGAAGTTTGAAAGCAAACAGACAAGGAAGAAGTCTTAGGGCTGCTAGATTCTCAAGTTCACGTTCACCTGGGAACTGAGCACCCCTCAACGCCGCCAAACCTGTCCTAAACGGGACTCTTGAAGTATACCTAAGTGACAGTAACAGTTAGAAAGTCCTGACACGGCACTGAGGATTGACGCAGCACTGACAAGGCATGAATAAGGTTTGACGCGCCTATGACGCGGCATGCAAGTGTGGAGGTTTGCATCAGTACAGAGGCTGCGAAGATGTTGGGGAGAACTTGCCGTGGTATGAGTAGTGCTTGACCCAGCCTGACTGAAGTTTGACATGGCATGGTTGGGGCTTGACGTGGTAGTACAGAGTACAGAGGCTGCATCAGACTTGACAAGGTTTGACAGCGAGACAATACTTCACACTGCTGTCTGAAAACAAGCGTTGGATAAATGGTTAGAGGTAATACAATACAAACACAAGATGCACACAACATTCCCAATTGGTAGTACGAACACGGAGGACAAGCAACGTAAAATTGGTGATAAACACAACAGAAAAGGCAACGATGCGATAACACGGGAAGTGCCAGCGGAGTTGCAGATCACAATCTCTCCCCGCCTGTACTCGACACCACCCACGACTTCCCGAATAGCATTACCATTTCAAACCTGAAAAGTATTTTCCTTCTCCTCTCTCTTTGGACCATCAGCACCAGCACCTCCTGGCCCATACTTCAAGGTTTTGCGAGTAGTTGAAGCGTCCATGGCAACATTTTGATGAAATACCAAGTTGTATGCTCTCGTCTATGGGAGCATACATCTTGATGGTAAAGTCTTACCTTTATGCCCTGATCCCAAGAGACATCCTGATCTTGATTGTGCCACTCACTTATAAGTCATAATTGGATTTGGCGAATCTCTTCACCGCTTCGATCACCGAGCCTACGCGCAAGGATCTCACGATTGACACGTACTGTTTCGCAATCTTCGTATCTAAACGCTCACAGCTGACTCAGTTTATGCACAGGGACTCGGATCGATAATTTGGGCACTACCAAGACATGCGTTTGAAATAGGTCATCGTCAGCGGTTGAAAAGGCGCCTGCAAATACACTTTGCACAGCTTGTCTACATAAGGTCTCCGTTTAGAAGGCCTCGCACAGCTTATCATCCAGTAGGTTTCTCTATACTCTCCGCTTCCGCCATCGCCATATCCTTACTCTCGACTAGGCTGTTCACTTTCCGTACGTCTGATGTTGAATTCTGTTTTGAGTCTGACACTGAGCTCAGTATCAAACGTCGTGGCGCACAAAAAGGCCTCGGCAAAATGAGTTCTGTTGGACCCTTCACCATTTGGTGCACCTCGTCAGACGAAGAACTCGGAGAGGGAGAAAGATTCACCATGCCACGTTTATAGTGCATAGCGTCTTCAGGATGTACTTTGGGAAGGTTCGTACCAGTACTATCACCGCGTTGTGATACTTATTCGACGAATCACGAGAAACTGGCCAGATTGAAGACGACGACGAAGATGCGCTTCCTCCTCAATGTCAAGAAGTATGCTCATGATGCCTTCGTGGACGGGCCATCACCAGATGTACGACTAGGTCAGCGTTAGCGTCATTTCAGTGAGGATTCGAATTTCAAGCGCTCCCACAGTAACATAGGACTGGAGCGAAGAACTAGAGTTAAGACTCACGGTTGGAGAGCTGTTGCGTGGTCTGGATTGACCACGCAACGGCTCTCAAATCTCATGTGGGTCCATTTTGAGGTTACGTTCAAAACCATTTGGCGCTGGTATATTACTTTTCTCTTCTATGACGTCTGATTCTTGCATTGTGTCCCAGGTACTGCCCCGATCACGCATTATCTCTTTGTCAGTGTCTTCAATTGATCTGACGCTATAGCAAAGAGCGTGCATCCATGTTCACGGATTCACCAAACTGCGCGCTGGCTACTCCTCTATATCTTCGGAGCAAGGCTTAGATGACGCAGTCTTATGACGTCAATGAATGTTACATGCAGACGCAAACAAATCCAAAGTAAGCACCTTTGACGACTCGTGCTCGTCACCGCTAACACGAGTATTATCCCAAACCTCAACTTGAACATTGGACTTGAAGCTCGCTCCATCCAGCACGGCAGCATTTATATCAATACCAATATCAATATTTGATTGATCTATCAAGTTGTATGCTCTTATCTAAGAGAGCTTACAACTTGGTAGTGAAGTCTTATCCCTGCCCCAAGGGTGCTTTCATGCTGCACACTTGCAATCGGATAACAGCACCACTTCGATCACCAGGCCTACGCATAAGATCTTATTATTGACAGGCGTACTATCGAAAGGCATCGAAATCTTTACACTCGGGCTGTAAGTGCCAAGGGTCCTGGTTTGTAGTCCTACGCTGTGTTGTATATTTAGTCTGTCCTCCCGTTATGAAGGTTTAGCATTGGGTTTCCTTTGCAGTCCGCCCGGTCCAGCATCATGCACAGGGACTCGGATATGCGATAAAATCTGCAATTGGGGCAGGCGCCTGCAAATACAGCACGCACGACTTGTCTATAGTAGGTCTCGCACAGTTTTCGTCTACCTTCACTTCCACCAGCTCCGGCTCAGTCTCCCATGGCGCTTGACCAGCCTATAGACTTTCCATACGATTGACTCGGAGTTCTGTCTCACTCACCATCACTGTCGCCTTATCCAGCGGTATTTCAAGACTTTCTCGATGGGCGTCATGGCACGCAGAACGGCCTCAGCAAAACGGAAAGATGGAGAGTGAGGAGTAGAGGCGATGTTGGGTGCTCATCGCTGCAGGGAAATTCAAAGATGCCCATCTAGCATCCGAGCAACAGCCCAGGAGAAGTGCAAGTTGTTAAAGACCCTGTACTGTGCTCCTCTGCTGGCATAGGCCAGTTTCGTAAGACTTCTCAGAATTAATATCAATGCGAACATGTACTAAGTATCATTTCAAAGTGAGCGTCCTGTAATATCTGGACCCCCGCCTCATTGCGACCCTATCTTCTATGGGATCCGATGTCCAGGTTGATCGGCCATAACATCTGGGGCGAGCTCCTGACGCCCAACTGACTATTTTTAGCACGTATGCCAGGTTCGCATGGGTCCAAAACAACGTTGAATATCGTCGAGTGAGTCGCATATACTATGTCTAATTTTGTGTTCAAAAGATGAAGCAGGGACTGGTATTGACATGCGTGATTACTAGACGACACTCGTCGAGGATAGTTGAAGTACTAACGTTTAGGAAAGGTCTAATGGCACTAGCGCTAAGCGCTGACAATCAACATTTTAAATGGGCGTCTCGCCACTTTTAGACGCCTGCCTGAAGGATATGTTCTGTTCTGTAGAATTTCATGTCCCGGGACCCACGAGGCTTTCACAACATGCTGCTTCCAGGCGTAGAGTTGTGTGAAAATGTTGACAGCAGCTGCAAAAGCCTTTACTACTTCTACAATTTCAGCCTCCCTAGCTCTATGTCCACGGGCGCATCAGAGAACCGAGGGGTCGGGTGAGTTACGTTGATTTACGTCGTAATATATGACTTTATATTATTTTTAGGGACGAAAATAAAGGACATGCTCTGCATATATTGTCATGCAATCAATGTAACTTTCTCACCAGTCCTCTGATGGCCACCACAGCACAAAACGCATCGCGATCCAGTCTCACACTTGTCAATACCGACCCGTCGACTACCAAGTACGTGGCAAGCTAGACTGAGTTGATTGTCACACTTACGGATCCACAGGGAATGGAAAAATATGTGAATCTTAACCGATCAGTACGATACACATCATGTCTGACTATATTGTACCCAGGTCAAACACCCTGGAGCAGATCCTCAGTGTCCTTAGAACATCTAGTATTGCAGAAGAACGCAGCAATGACGTCAAATCAAAGTTCTGGGCGACTTACAAGAAAGTTGCGGATGAGTACGACAACGATTTCCTCGAACGAGCACATGGTGATATAGGGATTATCCTGACTTTTGTGCGTTCGCTTCTATGTTTGTCAATGCAAGTCTAACAGGTGAATCAGGCTGGTCTACTCTCAGCTGCCATCTGTACATTCATCAGTGGAATGCAGCCCGACTCGGGAGACACTACCAATGCCCTCTTAGTGCAGCTAATTCAGGTCACTGTTCACGGATCAAGTGCTATACCTGACATCAGCAATCTATCCTCAACTACGCGCTATCCTTCTTCAACCGCCTGGGCACAGACCCTTGCTTACATTGCCCTAGCGCTTAGCATCTTGGCTGCGTTTGGGGCAGTTGTGGGAAAGCAATGCCTTTATTCGTTTGAGGCAGCTCGGAAGCGAGGAGGGTCTCTAGAAGAGAGTGGCACGCGGAGGCAGACAAATTTGGATGGACTGCAGTATTTGCGGCTGCGCACTTGCTTGCTTGCATTCCTTATGTTCCTCCAGGTTGCGCTACTATTCTTCAGCGTCTCGCTATGTCTCAAGACATGGACCGACCCACTCTCAACATTCGTTGTCACGGTCTGCACTGCAGCTTTTGTCGTTCTCTTCTATGCAGGCTCTATCTTCCTGTTAGCGTGGTGGCAGGATAACCCTGTACCGATATCAAGGACGGAACTAGTTCGAGCGATTAGTGAAAAATTTTGTCGTGCAATCACATCTACTTCGAGTCCAACTCCTAACAAATCATCCCCCATTCCTGACAAATCAACACCCATACGCTGGATACTAGAGACATCGACGAACCAGGGAGCTGTCGAGGCTGCGGTTGCGATGGTACATCTCACCCAATGGTTGCCGAACCTTGATGTTTCAGCAGCCTTCGAACGTTTACGTGACAACTTCGAGGCGAATTATGACAAGGAAGAACTATACGTCAAGTTTGGCAAGGCCATGGCCCATTTTTGCATCCAGCCAGTGAAAATCGACAAAGCTCTTGTGGACAAACTCTTTCGGCATGATAATTTTCCACTAATCCGAAGTCGTTTCATTCGCGATGCGTTCACGGCTTGCTATGATGCCTACTGCCATCTTAACAAGACACCGCCACTGGAAGAAGACATGAGGCGGAAGCATCGGGCCAGTGCGCGCACCGCCCTGAGGACAATGGTTGTCCACGGACTGGACTTTCACCTTTCACTTCCGGACAATGAAACATTGATTTGGAATGGTAATCTGTGCTGGTCTGACAGTGACGGGCGCAAGCCTGACTGTGAAGAATTTGACTGGCTCGTTGATTACCTGGCGGACGAAGTAGGGTACGACAAAGCCGATGAAACAGGTGATGCTTTGCTTGCGCTGAGCGCGATACGTGGACTAGGGAGTCCTGCCAAGCAATCTTCCTACATCAACTCGCTTATATGCTGTATGAACCATCGTAAACCTTCCCGAGTCCGGTATGCCGCGCTTAGGACTGTTTATGAGGTTCGAGATGAACTGGTTTCTATCACCAGTTCTTCGAAACTACCGGATATCGACGCAAAACTCCTGGATAAGCTTTCAGCCGCTCTTCGCGAAGTCATGGATCCAAAATACGACGATAGAATTAACGCCTCTCGGGATCTCAAATACATCGACATCATCCTTACCATGACAAAGAATGACGAGTGGTGTCGACGTCTCGCCGATAACTACCATCTTCAGCAATGCATTTCTCTAGTCACAGTTGATGGAGTTCAAATGTACGATCGGAATGCCGGATTCCACCTTACTGTGATTATCGGGCGCCTCTATACCCCGAGCAAGAATAAGGTCGCTTTCTACCCGTGTCGTACCCAGATTGACCCATGGTGGAAACTCATCAAAAACACATGGATGCACACACGCCATTATGTAGGGAATGATGAATACATCGATGGCATACCAGCCCTAGTGACAGCGACTAGATCTAGAATTTTTTCGGGGGAGCGGCCAGCAGACGTTACCAGAAAGGTGCAGGAGGCTCTGCATGATTTGCAGAATCCTGACAGACAAGCAACCTTTGTGCAGAGTGGTGTAGCTCAGGCTGCAATTGACGCTGCAATACATTCTGTGCAAGGCTTGTATAACTATCTACATGGTATGGTCGAGTAACCAAAAACTTCGTAGATGGACCATGGATCTTCGGGGTTGTGAAGGGCGTCTGGAGTCAAGTATTTTTACACATGTATTATGCAGGTCCATTTCTATACATAGTTCCCCCTGTCCATGAGGTGGATGTTGTCTATTTTGTACTCACAGAATAGCGACAGTTATCAGCGGTTCTTTGAGACAAACATTTTGAGTACTGTAAGAGGGCATGCAAGCAGCATGAAGGGTTACGAAATATAACCAATAGCTTACCATGTACCACAGGAGATAAGTCCTGCTAGGGCCGGCCTTGCGCTAGACCGAGCAGATTATCGGACATTAAGTCCGGTCCTATCAGGTTTCAGGCAAACTGTCATTCTCAAAGGCATTTATGTCACTCCCGGTCTTCCCTGATACACTTGAAGGCTCCGCACGGTGGGCAGCTAGTGCCAGAGTGATACGATAAGAACGAAACTTGGCGTAAATATAGTCAAATTCTCTTGTTCCCTGCGGAGGCCCGACGAGTGTGGATATGTCGAGACCGTCATACTGCTCGGTGATGGGGGTCTTTTCGTTGCAAATGACGTGAGGGTGTCCGGGCTCTGCGAGATTAGGGTTTGAAGTCGTTCAAAAGAACCGCGAAAAAGGTCCGAATGATACGTCTGGCAGACATTGGCAACTTTAGTTGTGCCACTTGGAATCCCAGTGAGGCGCTCCGAGTCAGTGCGTGAAGCACCAATATTAGATATCAATCTCATATGGATCCCCCTCCCCCTCACCGGATCTAGATGCGTGCTGACTCAAACTTCTATCGATAAGAGCCCTTCGCTTTCGATTGGTGGTAAACCGGTTTCACGTGCAAGAATTATTCTTCAAGTTGTCATATGAGCATAAGCATGGTTAAGCATAACCGTATGCCGAGTGTAGCACCGGCCCCAGCCGCCGCACAACATGGGTTAACTTATATAAAACAAGGTTTGACTTTCAAGCTCAAGTTGTCTCCATTTTCTAATCCAAGACATCCTTGCCTCATTGTACCGATTGTACCGCTTTGAGTCCCCGTGAGGCGCTCAGTGCGGTGGCACCAATACTAGATATCAATCTCATATCGACCCCCCCCCAGATCTAGATGCGGGTCAATTCAAGCTTCTATCGATAAGAGGCCTCCTGCAAGCGCTTACGATCAATGGTAAACCAGTTTCATATGTAGGATACTAAGAATGGTATCTATGAAGAGCCTTTCCGGGCTCTTGTCACCAACTTGGATTGAAGGTTGACATGCTTTGAGATAACGCTGGGAGGTTTGTGTGTTCCTGGTCTATAAGATCAACAGGTTCATGCAAATGATAGTGGATATCTATCATATCACCAGTGCTAAGGTGATAATATCCACAACGAAGTCCACCTCCTTGGTAAGTTCATGCCTTGAACTTTTGGATTTCACATGGAAGCTGACACTTGTCATGTTCATTTACTATAAATTCAGCGTTCGATTCCTCAGTTGGAACCTTGTCCCTTCTTGAACGATTTCATCCTTACTACTAAGGCTTCGCCAATGCCAGGGCATCCGAGTTACAGCAATGCAATGGCATCTGTTGGGACAATAGACCTACCAAATCCCAAGTGAGTACCTTTTCATTGCGACGTTACAATGTTTGTGAAGACTTAGGAATTAACCACCGTCATTCAAGATCTGAAGCCGGCCTTCTCGAGAAGATTCTCGAGGTCATCAAGGACTACACAAATGCGAATGAGCCAGCAAAGGATCAGCTTTCTAAATTTTGGACAGCATACAAAACTGTGTCTGACGAGTACGATGACGACATGTTAGAGAGGTGTAATGGAAATATGGATATAGTCCTGATCTTCGTACGTGAAACACGTCATTGTTTCGATAGCATCTAATATGAGTAACAGGCCGGTCTATTCGCCACTGTCAATACTGCGTTCATCATTGCAATGCAGCCAGATCCTATTGACACTACCAACGTTCTGTTACTGAAGCTTATCCAGAACACATCGGATAGTCGTTCTGCTACCCAGCCAACAATCATTTTGTCATCTACAGGTTTCTCTTCTTCCGGGTTATGGGTGCAGGCGCTTGCGTATGCGAGCCTTGGACTTAATCTTCTCGCTGCCTATGGTGCCGTTATGGGCAAGCAATGGCTGGGTCACTATAAGACAACCCGTTTTGATGGTGGATCTAACAAAGATCGATGTCAGCAGAGGCACCGCAAGTTTCAGGAGCTAGAGACGTGGCGATTTGAAAATGTGTTGCGGTCATTCCCAGTTCTTCTGCAAATCTCCCTTCTTCTATTCGGTCTGTCCCTGGGAGCCATGTTGTGGATGCAACAACGACCCATCTCCATCCTTGTTTTTGCAATGACTACTTTCGGTGGCCTTTGCCATGCCTTTGTCATCATGGTGTCGTCAATACATCCTGACGGTCCATTCCAGACGCCTGTCTCCTTGGGCATCCAGGCTGTCCGTCGTCATTTTCGTGAACGTGCGGGCTTCCAGCACCAAGATGAAGATTCTGTCACATCCGCCATGACGTGGATCTTGGAGACTTCAAGGAGCCCTGTTGTTGTTAGGTCGGTGGTCGAACTGATACCTACAATGTCAGAGCTGCCAAATGTGGATATTGTGTCATTATGCACAGAAGTTCGAGACATGTTCAAGGCATGTTTTGATCTGCATGGTATTCCGATACTGCACGACAGCGCACTGGCATATGGGAAAGCGTTGATCTACTTCTCTTCCAAACATGATGATGTGAGGGATATGCTCCACACAACTACACAGGGTTGGAATCTCTGGGAACGGTGGCGCGCCCTGTATTTACCTCAGGCGCTGGAACAATGTAGAGTTTTCTACCGCCGAATGGGCAACATCCATAATCCAAAGTCAAAGTTATACTTAGGGTTACAAGCAGACACCCATGCTGCTCTGCGTATGGCCGTGGCTGCTGGTGTAGACGATTTTGCTCGTCCCAATGATGACAGATTGATTTGGAATGGTCGATTCAAATTCAAACCCACTCCGTCGGGAGACGAAGGTGACTGGTTGTTGAGCTGCGCAGAGCACTTCTACGACAATCATGACATTGACGCAGCTGGAGACGCTCTGCTCTTGTTTAGTCACATACAGATGGAATCATTACCCCGTATCCGAGACCGCATCGCTCGACTTCTGAACGACAGCCAGTCACATAGATTTCTCTATATCGCACTTCGTACCGTCTGCCGAAGAGCCACCCTGCAAGATCTCCTCCCCATTTTCACGGAGAAAGGTTTCCAATCCTTCCGCCAAGCTATTTCGAAGGCCATTCGTCTCATGGTCCAACATGAATGGTCCGAAGGAGACAATCAAGCGATATATCGCCTGTCCCAAATCCAGTTTCTTGTATTCCTCGTTTTACCTGCACCCAAGGTTGACGATCTCGCAAAGTATACTGATTACTGCCGTGCCCTCATTCGCTACATGGGTGAAGATCAATGTAATGGGCTCCGCCGTTACACTGCACAAATTGTCTGTAATGCCCGACAAGACCTTGTAGAGTTCACCACTGCTCTTAGAGCTGATGAGTCCTTGCGAAATTCAGTGCTCCCCGAGCTCTGCCCAACCCTCATCACCACAATTTTTACTTGCTGTAATGATTTGCGTCTCGAACGCCGAGGTTTTATCCCCTATTTCCGTCTCGCCTTCACTCTTGCAAAGAGCTCCGACTGGCATCCTTACTTGATCAGGAATCACCGCTATATCGAAAAGTGGATCACAAGCACGCTCACGGATTCCAGTCTCGCTCAACGTCTTCGCAATCCCACTCCTCGCAATCAATATTCCTCCACCGATGTCACTAGTGAAGAAGCACATTGTCTCTTTTACCTCGCCGGAATTTCCCTCCGTATTTCTCCACCAAAGAAGGCCGCATCCTGCTTTAGTGACGCCATAACCATGCATTTGTGGGACTTGATGAGAGGTGCATGGTACATCATCGAGTCTTGCCCTTTCGATGAGTTGTATGATGTTGTCGAGAGCCTTCCGGCTCTTGTCAGAGGAACGAAGCGGCACATGCCATCAAATGTTTCGAAGATTGAGCTCAAATCTCTCAAGGAGTTGTTGACCAAAACGCTTGATGTGTTACGACAACAAAAAAAGGTAGATAAGAATATCATATCTACTGTGGCAGATTCGAAGAATGGCATATCCAAGAGATTGGCCTGAGTTCCGGACGGTATGGAGCTGGGGGAGTTTGGCGAACAAAGTGCAGAGGATGCTCCAGATCTTCGGTCCCATGCATCTACATGACCACTTAACCACTGTGTCTTCGTACCGACCCAGTGATTTTTCAAGGGAAGACCAATGCTAACCCTCCCGTACAAATAATTTATCTGTTCTGGTCACGCAACCATATATGCGACCCCAGCGAGACGAGAAATCATCAGGAAACGGTGGGACAGCCCATTGTTTGACTGCAGTCCAGAAACATCACTCGCGTTCCACAACCTCATACTTCACCCAAACAATAGCCTATCATCCGACAGATCCATATTCATATCCTGTTCAAAGACATATATGTTACTCTCAGTCTTCCCTGCTACGCTTGAAGGCTCCGCACGGTGGGCAGCTAGGGCCAGTAGTGATGCAATAAGAACGAAACTTGGCACAAATATGATCAAATTCTCCTGTTCCCTGCAAAGGTCCGAAGAGTGTAAATCATATCGAACATCTGCAGTGCTACACACTATTGGTAGTTGATACATGCACACGCTCTTGGAAAGCAATTGAATTCATGCTAGGTCCTGCATTGGAGTCAATCACGAGCTTAGCATGATATTCTCGAATACCGAGGATCAGTTGTGGTCCCAGCACAGTCAACTGCACAATGATAGATATTTGAGGAAATCCATAATAAAACAACTTTGCCGGGGAATATGGGTCCTATGGGAAAGTAATGAAGCGTGAATGCATGCAGATGTCAGTGACAGATTAACATACGTTTGACATCGTTGGCGAAAAAAAACCGAGTAGGCAGCAAATAACCACAACAAAGCTAGCATATGCAAAACTTTAATGGAAAAGAGAACCGCATTCACATTATGGGCTCACCTCACAAAGTAACTCATATGAGCTGTCATTAACACAGTGAAACAGTCCCTCATAATACTTCCCGCTGATTGTCGTTGCAATTCACGGAAGTGCTTTAGAACAATCCAGACTGCAAGACACAGTGTGAAGATCTCCCATACAGCAACGAGTATCCAAGGGATGGCCACCAGATGTGTGGCATTGTTAACAACGCACTGATAGGTGCCAGAAAGAACGACTTGCTCTGGTATTTATCAATTAGCCTGAGGTATCCAAAGTTTTTCATCCATAATTGAAGCTTACCCCCTGAAATATGCCTCGTGTTTATCGTGAGTATTGCAGTGTTGACAATATTGATAGCCATGAAGACGACAACGAGGAGTACGAGTACCTTTCTGGATCGTTGGTACATAGCATATAACCGAGCAATCATGATGACTTGCATGGCATTTCAGTCAGGTCGGATGTCATTGAGGTATTGCAACTGCGTAGCTCACCACCGAGTATTGCAATTAGGACCCACGTCGTCCAATATAGCGCGAAGTACATGATAAGACCTGTCACATCTGGTCAGCGATCAGCCTCCGAGGATCATGCACTCCAGAAAAACTCACAACTGTAAGAATCACTATGGTGGATCAGCAAGCCGTGCAAAAATATTGCTCACCCCTACGTAATAGTTGATCAGACGGGTATGCAAGGGAAGATATCGGTGCGGAACACTCACTGCATCTTGCAGCGGGATTACCTGAACAGCCACTGTATGCTACTGGTCAGAAGCAACAAATAGTGTATGTGAACAAACACACTCTGTATGTTCATGCTGATTGTGAGAGATGGGCGATTAGCACAACGCCAATCTTAGCCTTTCAAACATACCCGGCGTATATTATTCCAATGTAGCGCACCTGGAACATCATCATATCAGCTCAACTTGCTAAGCACACTTATAGTACGAGCTACATACAGTGAGATACAAGACAGTCATCAGGGACCAGCGTTGCCTCTGTCGCAGATTAATGACATTTGGATGTTGTTCTTCGGATACGAGACTCTGCTCACCCAAATCAATTCGACCTATGAAACTATTCTTAGAGAGATGATCAGTCCGGTAATGGCATCAACTAACCTCTTGTCCGAATGAAAGCACTGGAGAAACCATCAGGATATCAATAACTCTTTCATACCATCTTGCTCACCCCAATCATACATTACTCCAATAGAGGCAGCAACTGCAAAAATGCAGGGAAGGTTATATCAGCATATCACCGTTGTCATCTGACTGGCTCTCCACGGACCTATGAAATAGCTGAAAATAACATGTGAATTGATGAGTGGCCACCAACTGGGATCGTTTGAGATTATGGTCATAATATTAGAGGATGTGGGTGAGTGAGCGGCGAACTTGGTGGACGTATGACAATGACATTCGTGCCAGATATACCACCTTTTATCACCGAAATGAGTACCATGAAGATAATATCTGTCAGTCCCTCAATTGCACTCAGTGAATAAGGGTTTCAGCATGGCAAGGGGGAACAAATGACTCACAGCCACGCACTGGAAGTTGGAACGTTCAAGCCAAGAAAAAAAAGTGAACATCCTGATTTTGGCGACCAACTTGTTTCTACTGCCATTCATCCCGGCTCATTTGTGTACCACTGGGTCTTCGATCACGAAAAGCCATGCCTTCCCGTGTCGACTGCAGGTGGGTCAAATCATATCGCATCGCTAGGAGAGAGAGCAAGATTGTCACGATTGTATTTGGTAACTAAATATAGCTAACCATTACGTTCGGAATTGGTCTGTTCGCCCGAGCCACTAATGACTAGTATTTGGTCCAACTGCTGTGCCAGCATTATCGGCGGAAAGGGGAAGAACGTGTTCAACTGACACGACATGGATATCCAGTGCACCCCCGACATCTCATTTCAATGCTTGACACTGCCACATGAGTAGCTATTGGGGGGCTCGGACTGGCACGGCCGAGCGCCGTTACGATTGTGCCTTACACAAGATCCAACATGATCAGCTTTCTCGTCAAACATATACCTTTGACGAGTTACACGTTATCCACCTATCAATTTCGGCCCTGAGTCATCGATGCAGTCATTAACAGGTGAATGATTCGGCGGATTTCCACGGAACACTACCAGGGGCATGGATCGCTAGCAATCCAGCATGCCAGAACATTAAAGACTTGAGCTGCGTGTTGGATGATTGGGGTGGGACCTGCTGGGAGTAGAGTCAATGAGCGAGAGGAACGAATGTCTGAGTGCGTATGGCGAGTGAGTGATTTCTACTACGACAGTGACAGTGAGTAATAAACTTGAACAAGATCTAGTATAAGATAATCAGTGCTCTTCAGGCCTTCACTGTGTATCCACGACCATCCGAAGCTCTGCGCCACATTTCAGTTTTGCAACTAACGTGGAAAACTGGCCTACGCGCACCACACATAGTAATAAACTCGTTTGTCCAGTATTGAACTACATACTGTCCAAATGATTGATTGGCCCTGGCCGAGGTAGAATCCCTTAGCTATAGCAAAAAATACCCCGAAAACCATTGCTTGCACGTTGCGAGAATCACGAACAGTTTTCCAATTGGCCTTTTGCGGCGTTCGAACGTTCTGTGCGAGTCACTGCTTTGCGGTTTCGTCAACAACTCCCACTTCGGCAATGAGGCTATCGCACTAGCATAAGCGCTGGATGGTGGTATATGATCCAGCACGAATGTGATCGTTATACATCCACCAATTTCCCTCGCTCGCTCAGTCCCATTCTCTAATAGTATGGTCCTAGTCCCAGATGATCCTAGTTGGTGGCCTACCATCAACGTGAATATTATTTTCGGCTATTTCGCAGGTCCGTGGAGAGCCAGCCGCATGATGACCGTGATGACTTGATTAACCTTGCCTGCGATTTCACAGTTGTTGGTTGTGTTGGGATAATATATGATTGGGGTGAGCAAAACTGAATATGAAGAACCGTTGATATCCTGATATATAGTATTTCCAGCACTTACGTTCGGACAAGAGGTAGGTCGATCCATTACTGGGGCTGCCAACTCGCTTAGATTCGTTGTGTTATAGGTTGAGCTGATCTGGGTGAGCGGACTCCCACATCAAAAGAACGACGTGAAAATACAACTTGTTCACGGCAGAGGTAACGCTGGTCCCTGATGACCTTCCTCTTTCTTAGTGTATGTATCTTGTGTTTCAATATTTATGCTTAGCAAGTCCAAGTTTTGTTGACTTCAAAATATCCTAGGTGCGCTATCATCGATGTTGCGCTCATTACCCATCTCTCGCAATCAGGGCCAACATGTTGGGTAGGTCTCCTCGCATAGACTCTGTTTCTTTCTTGTGACGGGCGGCATACAGTCACTCTTCCCACAATTTCGAGGACAGATACAGTGAGTGTTCGCACTGATGCTTTACATTCTCGCTAAAGCAACTGGACTACCACGCAGGGGTGAGTGAGATTCTCGAACAACTCGTTGGTTCAATATAACAATTGCCACAGCTGTGAGTCTCTTTCAAGCGTGTGATCCTCTGAGGCTGATAACTAATGTTGCTGGATTCGTCAGGTATTATCACAGTCGACGCACTTGATTGGACGAGGGAGGTTGTAGATGCAATACTGGGTGGTGAGCTTAGTATGATCTCCCGTGATATTGACTTGACTAAAATATCATACAAGTTATCGTAATTGCTCGGCTGCATGCCATGTATCAGCGATCCCGAAAGGTGCTGATATGTCTCGTTATCATCTTTGTGGCCATCAGAATCACCAACCTAGTGATCCTCGCAATGGTGATGATGCGGATTTTAGGGGGTAAGCTTTAATTATGTATGAAATGTTCAAGTGGATCAAGCTCATCGGTAAACACCAGAGAAACTCGTTCTCTCCGGTACTTATCAGTGTCAGTTTAACTATGCGGGTGATTTCCTACTTCTGGATTCCATGATTTGGATACTTGCCACTGTATGGGAAGTCCTTGCACTGTTTCTCGCGGCCTGGATTGCTGTAAAGCACTTCCGTGAGCTACGACAATACTCAACAAGTGGTATTATTGGGGACTGCTTCACAGTATTAATGAAAACTCACATGAGTTATTTTGTGAGGTGAGCTCATCGTGTGAATGTGGTCCTCTTGTTTGTTGTTGAAGTTCAGCACTTGCAAGCTTCGTTGCAGTTTCTTGTTTTGAAATCAGTTACTTGTCTCCAACGATTTCCGCGGTATGCTGATCTGTTATCGACCTCTGCATGCGGTCATAAACCATCATTTATACAGGACGCAGGCCTCTTGGAATCTCAAATTTATTCTGGTTTTACTCAACTCTTCGTATTTCGAATTGTGCAGATGTTCGTGCTAGGACCACGCCTTATCCTCAGCGTTCGAGAATATCACGCTGAGCTCGTGGCCAACTCT